GACCAAACAACAACACATTCGACTGCAGAGCCGCCAGCTTTGAATCTTGATTTTCGAGCTATATTAGGTAGTTTTCAAAGGTGGTTAGCTGGGAAATCCCCGGCCATCGAGGTAGACATAGCTTTTAGTCATTGAACGAAATGAAGGATTTTCCAGCCCACGTTTATCAAGGCCATCATTACTGGCTTTGTCCCATTCTATCCCACGATTTGTTGATTTACTACTGGTTGGTGGTATACGTACCCCTCTGAAAAATATGAGGTCGTCAGTTGGGATGATAAAATTCCCAACCTTTCATGGAAAGTCATAAAATTCCATGGTTCCAAACCACCAACCAGCCAATTAACTTCATTAAATGTATGGTTAATGCCATAAACCATTCCCCAAATCACCATAAATAGGTACTATGTTTACCATTCCCAGTCATGGTAGTTTTCTGCGAAGACATGCTGCTGGCAAACACTTCGATGGTTTGTTGTTTTCCCGCGCAGAAACTTGCCCAGAGCATAGCATCTTTGCGGCGCCACCTCTTTCCGGTCCAATGTTTCAACTTGTAGGCCAAGTCTCGTCTCTAAGCATCATTTTCAAAACCAACAATATCAGATCTTCCCAAACATTGATCACCATATATCATCTTCATTAAAACCATTTATATCCTCATTATATCCTCATTAGAACGTAAATTTTTATACCCATATCATGGATATAACAGATCTTAATGAGGTATATCATTTATACCATTTATAATTTTTATCATGGTATCATAATTTTTTATATCATTTATACCCTCATTTTGGTATATCTACATTAGACCTTGTAACATATCCCCAGGCACCAAACCCACAGCACGGTTTTTCAAATCACCCAAGAAGTTCAGATCATCCCGAACCATCCAAGACTAGTTCGGATGAGTTTCTACCCATCTAAGATATAACTAGACAAGTAAAAAACCATAGGAAAACCATAGGAAAATGGTGGTTTAATGTGATTTAATGGGATTTAATGGGATTTAATGGCACTTACCCTCTGGTAAACATTTACATAACAATGGAACATCACCATTCTTAATGGGAAAACTCACTATAAATGGCCATTTTCCATAGCTATGTTAGTTTACCGGAGGGTAATCAATGGGAATATCATGCCCATTGGTCCCTCCATTTTCTTCGTCAAGGCACTCGCGGCCCTCCGTCTCGGAGTGGCAGGCTACCAGGGACCTAAGCGGCTGAGCGGCTTTTCCAATAACATCTGGTTGGTGGTTTTAACCATCTTGAAAAATATGAAAGTCAATGGGAAGGATTATCCCATATATTATGGAAAATAAAAAATGTTCCAAACCACCAAGCAGACATGTTCCTGTAAAAGGCACTCTCCAGTAAAGTGACATAGCCATGGAACATGGACCATTTATAGATGATTTACTTATTCAAAATGGTGGGTTTTCCAGTTCGCTATGTTAGTTTACCAGAGGGTAATCCCATCCGCCGTTCATTTTTCAACAACTCCATGGTGAATGGTCAAAACTATGTGGGTTCATTCCTTACATCCAGCTGTTTTATATGAACGGGGGATGGGATTACATGTGGATGCAAGCCAGAGGACGCTTTCAAATGGGTACAATGGGAATTTCACCCCCATAGGTTGGGATGTGGGGCCCCTAAAACTATTTTACCCTCTGGTAATTTAACATAGCTATTGAAAATCACCATGCTATTAATGGGAAAACTCACTATAAATGGCCATTTTCCATAGCTATGTAACAAATTACTGGAGGGTAACTATATCCACCAACGTCTTTGGAACTGCACTTCCAAGTCGACGAAATCTGTGGAGCTGCCTTTTACCCAGAAAATCCCATCCAAAAACCAAGCAGCAAAACGTAGGCAAGACGTGCATATTGTATATAGGGATCTTTAGCCAACAAAAAAGGCATTTAACCAAAGAACTGTGGATTGCTGGCAAACTATGATTTGAACAACAACATGTTGGTATATATATATATATATTGAGGTCTGGAGAGTTTTCTTCAGTTGTCACGAGGGCAAATCCACTTTCTGAGTAAGTGAGGTGAGCCGGTTGGGGGGGTTCACACAGCCAGACAACTACAAAATAAGTTGGGATCATCATCTCAAATATGGTTGAACACAAAAATGACTGAAACAACTGAATACAAACAGAGCTTTAGCACGTTAATCACAACTTGTGGGTTTACGCAACTAAAATTTTAGCCGATACCTAGTATCAATAGACAAACAACAACTGCATAGGTCCAAATATGGGAATCCCAAACCCATCGATCTTATGGAGGGGGCGCAGTTCTAACTGTGTCTCAATCCATTCAACAAACTCTTGGTCAGTCCTGAACACGTTCAATCTCTGATAGTTCACGAAAAACTCATATCTTCTGCTGGTTATGCTCAAAAATCATCTCTTGCTGGGGATATTCAATTCCCTGAAATTTAGGCCTTATATAGGCCTATATGGTATATATGGTATAGGTACCTCCAATCAATCGGTTCCTGAAATGGCCATTGATCTAAGGTGCGTTAAGTGTAGATTTGACCAACAATGCACCTTTTTTGTTTACTGCTTTGCCATCTTCCAAACATAGCACAAGCAACAACAAAATATCAAACTATCAAAAATGGCTCCACTACAAAGTGTTGAACACATAACCCATGAATGAACAATTGCAAGAAGGTTTAGCCAAATACACCGATGAACAAATCCGGTGTTTTCTACCGAACATCGGCAACGGCAAGGCAAAATCTATGAACATCGTGTTCCTTTCAATATGGGCGAAACATTAGTCGACAAACCATTGCCCAAATGTCACCAAGTTTTGTGTCACCCAACTGGGTGCTTTAAAGTTTCTGATTAAAAGATATTAAAGGACAATTGAACACACTGGAATGGAACGAAAATTCCATCAAAAATCCATCATGGAGTACAGGATGGTGTCCCCCAAGTTATAAGGGGGTTTATGAACCCCATTAAGTATGGTTATATCTGCCATCAACCATAGAATTCAGCCACTTTTTTCAGGCAATTGAACGCTATCTTCCATCCTGTGAGAATCATCTATGAAAAAGATTGTTTTATCTTAAAAGGAATCAGCCGCTTCTGGTTTTCGAAACTCTCTATTTTACCCTCTGGGAAAATCATCACGCCATAAACCCTCTGGTGATTTAACAAAGCTATGGAAAATGTCTATTTATTATTGAATTACCAGGAACTACCTATATTTACCTCTTTTTAAAAAGGTGGTTTGTATATGAGTCTACATCGTCTATATGATATTCCTCATTTTAATGGTCAACTACAAAGAAGGGTTCGTGACCTTGTTTCACCATTAAGATCATCCGACCTTGGGGTGCAGTTCCACAAAAAAGTGGGTATTGCATAACCATACTGCCCTCTGGTAAACGTTTACATAACTATGGAAAATCACAATTGTTAAAAGGTAAATCAACTATACATGGCAATGTTCAATAGCTATGTAACAAATTACCAGAGGGTAGTTTTTTTCCCCAACTTATGGAGGTTGGAATCCCATAGCTATACCCATAACCAACTGCGCCTGGCTTTGTTGCAGCAGGTTATGGATGCACAAACAAAAACCCAATGTCAGAATAACCATTGTTAACCCACAATCAACCTATAATATTCCCATTATTACCCTCTGGAAAACGTTTACAGAACGAACTGGAAAACACAATTTTATAGCTGGGTAAATCAATTATTTCTATGACCATGGCTTCAATAGCCATGTTTGTTAACCAGAGGGTACTAACCGCAGCAACCACAATTTTTCAAGATCAAGTGGTTTGAAAAAAAGCAGTCCCCCACTGTATAGTGGTTAATACACCATAATGATACACCGATGATTAATACTTGCTATTGGTAATATTAATACTAATAATCATTGGTAATACTACCCATTAGTACTATTAATCAACCTATAATAGTCCAATTATTACCATGATTAATACTTGCTATTGGTGGGTGTATATCATCCACCCATGATAAATCTCACGCTGATCCAACAAATACACCCCGCCGAGGTCCCACACTTTTCCTCCGCCCCACGCGTGACGCAAAGAGCATTGAGACCTGGGAGCCTCAGGAGCAACAAAACTACAGCCAGTGATGCCCCAGTTGATTACCCTCTGGTAAACGTTTACGTAACTATGGAAAAATCGTAATTTTAATGGGTAAATCAACTATTTCTATGGCCATTTTCAATAGCTATGTTTGTTTACCAGAGGGTAGCTATGGTTTATGGATGCTGATGGTACAGCCAATCAACATGTTTTTTTAATAATCAATTGATGTTAGCTAAGTTGGCAAATATAACTCCAATCTTACTACGGTTTATGGATGTTTATGGTAGATATATCGAACTAGTTGCCATGGTTTAGAAATCAACTTCGAAATGGGGGAGCACCTTGTAATGTAGTGAATGTAGTGAATAAACAATCCGATTAATCAACCATTTGAGGGTCATTTTAAATCATCCCGGTCATAGGGGTGTAATTACCCAATTTCATAAACAGTTACTGGAGATGGTTTATTATCGGGCTTACCCATGTTTATTTCATTACTGCCATTGTTTGTAGTGGTAACATTGGTAAAACATATCTTAAATACATGTTTTCCAAGTTTTTGTTCGTTTATATCAAATTCCGCCATGTGAATCATTCTATTGATGAGAGTGACACTAGTGATGAGAATCTGTGTTGCCAGGAGTACCCATCCGCGCGTATGGGTAAGTCGATCATATTCAGTGGCTATCGGAAGCACATGAGATGAGCTTGTGGGGTCTTTTGGGGTCTTTTGCGCTGGCACTCCATCATCTTACTTTTGTTGCTTGTGGTTTTCTTTACTGGTGATGGAACTTTCAGTTGCCATGGGCCGTGCTGGTGCCGAAAATGGACATGATGAAGTGGAGCACCACTATCCGAAGATATTGCATCTGACAAAGAATTCCCCTGGGTAAATCGTGTTTAATATTGTTATATATTGTTATTATAAATTGGTAATCTTGTTGGTCAACTTGCTATTGTTCTACACTTTGGATTTGGGTTTAATTCTCATTGAACTGAAGAGCTTTTAAACACCTTTCTACTGCTGGTGGTTTATCATGGGGTTGCCATGATAGGTAACAACATGTAGACAAATAGAGAATTCCCAACACATAACTACAAGGTGGTGCCCTCCAGTTATGTTAGTTGGCTTTTGCCTTTCCGTCAAAGTGTAACAGTTTCATCATCATAAAATCCAAGTATCAAGTGAAATATGAGCGAACTGTGTGACTTGGCGAACTGCCAATCCTATGTAATTTTGTGTTTGTATACGCTAGAGCAAAATAACATGTCTCACCAACCTGAAAGAACCATTTTTGGGATATCGCAACCTCAACAGAGATACCTGTACAAAACAAAGTCCTTCCAAAATAGATGTAGCATACTCATGGGCAATCTTAGACACCCTGCAAAAATTGAAACTCTTAGCTGGTGAACGTAGATAATCGCATTGATACAAAAAGACCGAAGGATTAAACTGCCCATCCAAGATTGACCTAGTTTTTACATCTATTTTTTGGGTTTACTGTAATCCCTGTTACCCATCACTTGGGGTTACGGGTCGGCTAGTGCGGCTAGTGAAGTGAAAAACTGCTTCGACCGAAGATCTCTTCCTCAAGGTCGGAAGCCTTGTAGATTCAGTTGTTTTCATCAATCTGTCTGTCTGGGTTTGTCTGAAAATAGGGTACCCCATTCCATCCATTGGTTAACCATCATAATTATAGCTATTAAAATAACAATTTAGGGGGCACACCCATATCTTTTTGATTAACGATTGAATTTGTTGTACCGTGAACCCACAACAGGCGCCAGTTACTTTCAAGGATCAACTGGCCCATCCGTTTTGCTGGTCCAGTAATCTTGACCTACTGTGGATGGGCCAGCGAAATCCTGCACCACCAACCGGATGGTTGAACCCCATCGAAAATCATGGGATGTGAACCCCACCGGACCTATCAACTGGTGATGAACGGATTCCGCTGGCCCATCCACCGCAGTATTGGACCGACCCTTTGAACATATCCGTTGGCCTACTTGCGCATGAAGTTGAATCGGGGCCCTTGAATCGGTCGTCCAAAACTGCCATGGAATGGACGCCACCTGCTGGATTATCACTTCCAACGTCCACGTTTGAAATTTAAAGTCACTTTGTTGTTTTCCTACCGATACTTGCCAGCTTCAAAGGTTTCAATTTTATCGATGATTTTGGGTCTCGTGCTGAGTTTTAGGGGATACGTCCGGGAGACGCTTCAAAGGATGCATACGGACAATTATGAACACCTATAGTTACAGGTCTAAGACATTTAAAATTCAAAATTCTGATTTCCACATTTTCGGCTTACTGGTGCTTAGTAGGGAACGGATGGGAATGGGGGAATGGGATTATTATTACTAGTGATTATGGATCATTCCCTCATTCCCTGCTAAGCACCAGTAAGTCGGATATCTTTGATCTTCATCAAATATTTCTCTCCCCACGCTGCGCGAAGCTGTGAGACCCCTGAGATCCCCTGCTGCGCTGAGACAAAGGATCGCGGTGCCTGCGAGAACCACAGGGCCACGGAGCCTCAGCAGTGGTTTTGCGGGTTGAAATCCTGAATGCACATCAGGGTCACTTCTGAGCGTATACTAAAATCTGATTAATGACACATATAATCATAGATCTGAATCGTATGATTGTATTTAGATGTATTTAGTATTGATGTGTATCTACATAGTATTGTTTGTTTATTTATATATCGTATACATATACAGATACACATCTTCCACAGGAACCACAGGCAAACCTTAATTTTGTGAGATCCCATAGCAAACTTAAACTTTTACAAGAAGTGTGGAGTTTACCAAGAAACGAAGCGGGTATGTCTTGAGCATGGTCTAGCTGCTAGATACGTTTGACAGTGAAATTGGGTCAGGAGCTACTGCAACATCACACAAAAGTAGTTCCTCAAATATCTATCTATAAGTGGTTTAAGTAGCATGGTCAATCTTGGGTAATTACAGGTACATTAGTACATTCTAAACCCCTGTGAATGTTACAGTATAACCGTATATAGCTATCCCAGTTATGGCAAAACCTTTTAAAGTATGCATGAAACCAAGAGTAAACCAAGATTTGGATGCTAAAGTCTCGAAAATGTGAGATTTAGGCACCCCCTTGGCCCCTGATGATTCCCACGGGGTCAAGACGTCTCGCTTTCCGGACAGTTGCCGCCCTTTTTCAAGACCACTAGGGCCAGAGGAAATCTCGAAGACCATGTCCACCAAAACCCAAACCCAGTAGGCCAAAGCGAACCACCAGCGCCACTGGTCCACTAAAATCGCCCAGAGCATCATGGTGCGGCTCTCCAGTGGCCCCCGCGCGTAGGCGATGGTCGCCGCCGACAGAACAATGAAGGTGAAGGCGTTGAGCGTGCTGTCGCTGAAGGCTCCCTTGTTGCGTGCGTCCGCTCTGTCCGCCTGTGCCTGCAAACGGCATAGGTTGAGCTGTGTCTGGTCGCACAAATAGGGGTGAGAACGGCAGAACCTCACTTATAAGTTATCAATCAGGTTGTAAGCCCAGTTGACAATTATATGTATCTATATACAGTATTACACGACATAGTACTTAGCATTATATACATACAGTATGTATACAAATATACACATCTACCGTTAGGTATTAATCAACTTCGCAAACGGTTTGGGGTGCACAAACTTTGTGGTCATTTCATCACTCTCATTCTCAGACAAACCGTTTGGTAATTTGGAACCTAAGCTTGGATTTGCTTAAGGAAGTTCCACAAAAACGAACCCTATGGAGTCCCCAAATGATGTGAATGTCAGGATTTTCTTCTTTCAAGCGTTGGTAAATCGTAAATTCATAAACGTCTGACCTTGGGTTATTTAATACATCCAATTACGACCAAGCCAAGCGCAGTTGCGGTTAGAAGTACCAAGTTTAATTGGCTACAGTGAAACCACTGCTTAAGTACCTACTGCAATAAGAACTTCAGGGGCTGGATTGCTGGACCCAACCCTTTCTGTCAGCAAATTGAAATAAGAACCCTAGGGTACCCTGGATTCTAGCCACTGGTTCTTATTCCCCTTTAAAGGGTATAAATAGTATAAATATACCAAACATTGATTACTGATATATGAAAGCAAGAAGCAGGCACGCAAGAAGCAAGCAAATCGCCAGCGCCACGGGGAATCGAACCGCAATGCGGCGAGCAAAGCTGCCGGCAAAGTAGGCAGTGGACAATTTGGAACGAAAAACGCCAAGTTACGTCTCACAAGCTGCTCCTCCACTGCAGCCACATTTAGCATCCACTGACGATGCTGGCTTACAGCCCCAGCTCTCACATAGGTTGAAGGGTGCCCTGTGGTCACGCCGCGCAAGTATGCAAAAATGCGAGTAGATGGCGAGATTCATTTGCAGGCTGTAAAGAGTGTGGCATGCACGAAACTGCTGTTGAATCTTCTGGCGGAGCACCTGTAAGACGGACAACGTCTTGTGCTGAAAGGTTGTACGCAACAGCCTGAGCCCGACACCGGCTGGACTCACTAAGGCCATCTGCCTTCAAATGCTGCCCTTGGCTTGCGTTTGGTTTGTCTTGGCTTGTCTTGCCTGTGCTGCCTTGTTTCGGGCCCCTAAACCAGAAAAAACTTTTCGGCGCGTAGAAAGTTCTTTTCTTCCTCCCGCCTCTCTTGCAACCTAATGCCACGCAAAAAAAAAGTTAAAAGCCCTGGCATGGTGGAATATCTGGCCTGTAGCTCTGTTTGGAATGCCTGCGCCTGAAAAAACTTTTCGGCGCCTAAAAAGTTTTTTCCTTCCTCCCGCCTCCGTTGCAACCTAATACCACGCCAAAATGAATTGGCAAAACCGTCACCATATGAACCCCTTAAGAACTAACAGGTTAAGAACTTGAGGGTAGCCTCGTTCATAATTTCCATATTTTCCACCTATAGCATTTAAAAAGCACAGGGTACGCTGGAAAATTCTTAATCGGTTCTTATCTAACGGTTCCGCTGTAGTTCCCATTTAAAAACTTCGCCCGAACTTTTTGGTAAGTACAATGTGGGGCCCACCAGCTGTAAGTTGGTTCAGAAACCCCACAAATACTATAGATATGTACGTAAGTATATCATAAACAAGAGTGAATTTGGAGTTATGTTCGCCAACTTAGCTATCATAAGTTGTTTTTAAATCATAAATAAACTATATAGTTATTGGAGTTATAAACCCAGGTAAAGCTATCGAAAGTCATAGGGGCCCTATCCGTACGTCCCAGGTTCAACACACGTTAAGTTAGCTGCTCCACCAAGGCACCCAGGGCAGCCAGGCTAGTCACCAGGAGTCCTACGGTCGAAACGGGGATCTTGGGGATATCATGGTTGGTGGTTGACCCACCCCTCTGAAAATTATGACTTCGTCAGTTGGGATGAGGAAATTCCCAACTGAATGGAAAAATAATCCAAATGTTCCAAACCACCAAGCAAATATGATATGATATGATATGATATAATATGATATGATGGAATATAATGAACATATACGAACATATAATGTGGCAGACTCCATGCGATAGACTATCCACACATGCGAGGTTTATGAAATTGGATGAAATTGGGTATACCTCTATGACTGGGATGATGTAACATGATCCCACTCATGGTTGGTTCATGGGACGGTTTATGGCGTTGGGCTTACTACATAATGGGATAAGTAAAGAAACATGAATAAATTTCGAATGTACTGGGGATATGCAATCACATAATCATATATATAGGGATATGACATGATACGGAGGTGTCCTAAAATGGAGGGTACCCCTTTCATCATCCATTTTAGATTGGGATTTTCCATGAAATAAGCCACGCATTTTGGGGTACCCCCCTATGACTTAGGACACCTCTATATGACATGGGCTATGCTCATTGGCCACTGGAATCCAAACCATACTGAAATTCATCCTCAACGGGGATTGACGACCAGTTCCATGGAGGGTTCCTAAAACATGGGTGCCCAAAACGTGGGTTTTCCCATTGATCATAAGCAACTTGGATTATTTTGTGGTACACACATATTTTCCGACACCTCAAGTGTTGGCTACTGTAATTGTACCCAAGTTTTGGTCATGTCACATATAATATGGTTGATCATCATCATCCATCACGTCACCCAGCATGATGATTCCACACATCAAGGGTTGGGAATCTGTGATCAGTTCTCAAGAAAGTCCGAAAAAAGCCTGGCGGAATTGTAGAGCTCGCCACTTTGTTGTGTCTAATTGCTGGATTGATCGACCCATGTTCTCGGCCGCAACACGGATATCCGCCATGGAAAGTAGTGTCCATTGAAGCTCTGCAAGTCGCGCCAGTTGCCCTTCCAGATGCCATAGTGGCTCTAACATTTCTTGAAACTCTGGTATGGTCTGGGGAACACATGGGACAATAAACACCCCAAGTCTTTTAGTACTTGGTGGATAAATCAATAGATATAAACTCTCACCTTCAAGCAAATCTGTGAAACGTGGGAAAATTGACAAACAAAGAGCAAAGAAATTGGTTTGAAGGGATCTTGACCGATAAAAATTGGGATTTGAGTCATGGAAAATAGGAAAAACCCACGCAGAAATGGAATGCACTGGGAAGTTTCACCATGCAAAAAAGCGTCTAGCAATGTAAAACAAAACACGGAATTGACTTAACCAACAGTTCTTTCGGGTCTCGAAAAATACCCCTATCCCATTCCATTAAATTGGTTGGTTAATAGGATTTAATAGGTATCCCGTTAATTATGGGTTATGTCACAACCCCGAATAACCCAGGTAGCATGACACCTTTTCATAACTAATCAACATTGGAATTTTGTTCATGGCTCACATGTTTAGCAACCAGACACGGGATATGTTTCGCAGCCCGTTGGATCCAGAAAATCCGCGTCCTGCTCGGAATTGCCGCTGCATCTTAGCCTCAGAACATTGGACCCGTCCTCTGAGGGATTTTCGTTGGATGAGTTTCACCATTCAGTTCACTGGATTGGTTTAAGAGAAAATTTACAGGAAACCATGGTTTTTACCATCAAATATAGGGCTTTCCTATAAATTTTCCCATCATCCAATTCTATGATCAATTGTATATGGAGGTTTCGCAAAATACGGGTACCCCCAAATCATCCATTTATAGATCAGATTTTCCATTGTAAATCATCCATTCGGGGTACCTCTATTTTAGGAAACCTCCAAATGTGTATCTTGATAAATTATGAGAATTCAATAATCTAAATTAAGGCCAATTGAATTTGGGGATGATTGCCCTTCTTAACCATCATTCCAGTGACGTCGCAGTGAGGTCGGTACAATTTGTCCAAATATATGTAAATATATAACACATTTTTTGATTTCCAAACACATGTCTGTACATAATTCGAAACATCATTTTACTGCTTTTTTTCCTGTCGTTTGTTACATTCAAATCATCAACCTATCTTGGGGTCTTTCTGCAGGATGGAATCGGATCCCCAGGGGCCATATAGTTTTGATCTGGCTTTCTCTGAAAATAGGGTATGTACGGTAGTATATACCCACAAATATCCACAAGGGATGAAATTAAATGGGTTATACATGGGTTATATAGGTTAAAAATATGGTTAAACATATGATATAGTTAAACAAGTTTCCATTGGTTATATCAATGGGAATAAAACAAGGATCCTAAAATGGAGGTACTGTACCATAGAAGACCATATTTTGTGGGAATATTCCCTGAAATTTAGGCCTTATATATGGTAGGTACCTCCAATGGGGGGCAAAAAGTGATGAACATGATCTGGTTGGTGGTTGAGCCACCCCTCTGAAAATTATGACTTCGGTTGGGATGGGGAAATTCCCAACTGAATGGAAAAATAATCCACATGTTCCAAACCACCAATCAGCGTATATACCAACAAATATCCACAAGGGCCCTCAAGGGAACATGCTGTTTTAATCCGAAACTGAATCCGTCGGACTTGGGGATAGCTTTCGGAAACCAGGACCCTAAGGTTCATGTCTGAAGCTATCCTCAATCTCTTCACAGCTATGGGTCAAAATTGGATAGTCCTACAATTGGATGGTTAAAAACAAAGAATCGACTCTATTCTGTGTGGTTTTTTGATGCAATAATTTTGATCCATTCCCATACTTGGTGGCTCATCCCACTTAGTAAGTGGGTTATAAGCCCAGTTATAAATGGGATAAGTAGGGTTAATCCACTTATAATTGGGGTTATAATCCACTTACGAGCCGTGGGATGAGCATTCCCATATGCCAAAATCAGCAATTAGCCGGGACAATGGGAATCAGAGAATAGGTTCAGAACAAGAATGAGATGATGGTGATCTAACATGATCTACCCTCCAGTAAATTAACAGTTCGACCCTGGCAGTCATCGGGGTTGGAAGATTAATTTCCATTAAAAATTGGTGATTCTCAGGGTCCAACTGTTAATTTACCAAAGGTAACCAACGGTGACAAGGTGGTCACGTTCCCACTATTTGATTCTCGTAACAAGAGACTAACATCTATGAGTTTCTAATATTCCGTTGCCAGCTTTAATTACGGGTTTGTTGATAACAAAATGCAACTTTTGAAGGGAACTATCTTGCGGCAAACAGTACATTCATCTAAACCAACATGTTTGTGAATCATTAATCACCCCTTGACAAACCATTCATCAATCATCACATGGTTCACACCGAAATCTGGTCAATCTAAGGTTTCAAGTTGACGGTTCCCGCATATTAATCATCATTATTCAAGGAACCTCTCAGAAAAAAAAACACATCCAGAATATTCCAGAATGTGATACTGAAGGGACCAAATAGAGTGGCTGCAGTTTGTGGACATAATGAAACAACGAAGACTTAGCAACAGTTTGGATAAAAACTGGGAACCAGCCAACTTGTCTTGGCATACTTGCGAGCAATATTGGGATAGTAGGCACATAACCACCAATGATAGTTAGCTGATGGTGTGATACATGGGGGTGCAGTTCCACTAGGTAGGTTGTACAACCATACTTGTTGGGACTATATCCATTAGTGGAACTATATATAGGTTGTATATTAGTGGAACTATACTTGTTGGGACAATCCATATTGTTGGGGTTATCAATAAGTAGGTTATCCAAGCTTATATATACCCATTGATAACCCCAACTGCACCCCCCAAATATAACCAAAAATGACAATAGGTTCTCCAGCACTAAAATCATGTTCCAGCCTGAGCTATACCAGCGATCATGGGTGTGCAACCAACACTAGCAATAAAACACTGAGTATCGCTATATACCACAGTGTTGTCGTTTTCTTGATCTTAAACCAACCAAATTTGTGGGATACATAAATAAATAAATATATATATATAATACAATTATATGTATATATATATGTATATTAATATATAAATGATCTTGCAGCCCATTGCCATTTGGAGGAGCCGCTGGCCCCAATGACAATGTGCTGGATGTATCTAGTATGTCAATTTATATTGGCAGAATAGATAAATGGACCAGCCACTACCTCCAGTTTCCTAAAGAAACTGCAGGCTCCAAACACCCTATGTACAAGGGGGATACCCTCTGGTAAACTAACACAACTATAGAAAATCACCGTTTTTGATGGCTAAATCAACTATTTCTATGGCCATTTGTTAGTTTGCCAGAGGGTATATCAATTGGGTATAAATCGGCTGCTTGGTGGTTTCAACCCCTCTGAAAATATGAAAGTCAGTTGGGATGATTCTTCCCAATATATGGAAAGTCATAAAATTCCATGGTTCCAGTCACCACCAACCAGTTGGGTAGCTGAGTTGGTTTATAACTCTAATAACTAGGACTTATGGTAGATATATCTATAGTTCATGGGATTATAAACCAACTTATAACTGGGGGACCACCACCTTGTATCCTATTTACGCTTGTGGCTATCATTTGCCTATGGCTACAGCCAGGGACTCCCACAGAGTCCCGGTGAACCCGGCTTCGTCCCTTGCCGCCAGGCCCCCTGCGGGAAAAAACCCACGCGCGCCACGGATCAACTACCACGCGCGGCGCGAAAAACCGCTGCGCGCGTCTTGAACCGGACGTTGGCAGTGAAGGTGACAGGTGAAGTCAGGTCAAGTTAGGTGCAGGGAGGTAATGTCAGGTGGAAGGGGAAAGCTTCTCTGGCTAATATTTAAATCCATGTCACAAATGGCTTAAGATTTATGGTGGATAGAACTATGATCATAACTCCATTCAGTAAAATCCTATGGGATATTTAATGGGATATTATCTGGTTGGTGGTTGACCTACCCCTCTGAAAAATATGACTTTGTCAGTTGGGATTATTCTTCCCAATATATGGAAAGTCAAAATCCAAATGTTCCAAACCACCAAGCAGTTATCCTATGGCTTGAAGGATCAAAAAACATATGGAGTTTATCGAAGCCAGGTCAATTTTAAAGCCAAATGCGCAGATCCAAGCCCCATAAACCACAGCTATTGGAGGAAAACAGACCGACGATATCATTAAGGGGTGCCCCACTTTGTATGTTCAGGAAAGATAAATTACTTTAAGGCTTTAAGATTGAGGTGGCAGAGTTTTTATGAGTTGTTATTTCGACATGTGGGGATAAAACCGACAAGATATATTTTGATCCAAGTGAATGACTCGATAAAAGTGGTATGGACGGGAAGAAATCCAGATTAATGCCGTTTTCATCAGGAGACTCTGTTGCTTTGGCTATCCTTTGTGTGGTTTTAGAATCCAACATGACGTGACATCTAAAAATATTTGGTACAAACCTACAATGTGAGGCCCCCAAGATATCTAAGTTGGTTTATACCTCCAATAACTATGGTTTATGGTACTTATAACTATAGTTACTGGGGCGAACCTAAACCAACAAACATCACTGGGGGGCCTCACATTGTAGCTATGCTGTTCCTAACTCTATTCCCAGTTTTCCCAGTGCTTGTCGTGTTGTTTGCATTACCCCTGTCGCAGTTGGAGAAATCAACAACTTTGGACTTCAAAACATCAGCTTTTGACAGAAATATCAGTGACGAGGTTGTGACTTCAACTGGTGACATCTTGTGCTAGATAAAATTCAATTCTTAAGGATAAGTCGCCACTTTCTATTTCGTATTGGGTAGGTGATACCAAGCCACCATCCCACTCTGCCACCTGCCACTCTGAGAAAGTTTCGTTCCGTGGGTCTACCTGCCAGGTGCAGCAGCAAACATGGCAAGCTGGGAAATCAGGGGATCATTTTGGCCATGGTCACAACATGTATGGCTAGGGTATGGCTAGGGTATGGCTAGGGTATGGTCATCTTAGCGTAAATCTCATTTAGTGAGGCTCTGCCAGCTACAAGTACCAACAGACAAGATGCTCAGAGAATCTCAGAGTGCTCACATTACTGTTCACCGATGATTAACAAACTAGCAGTTCATTCATAAGAGGCACCAAATTTCATAAGTTGTCACAAATTTGGGGGTAACCCCACCAAAAATGTCAATGTCTACTAATCCCCGATTGATATTCTCTGGCTCACAAGTGTTTTCTCCTATATTTCCACACCGCTTCGAAGAGTCCAGAAGTGCGCAAGTGGTTGGTTGAACTGGTTGCGACATGTTGCGACTGCAGGGGTCACTCTTTTTCTCTGTTAAAAGGCTTGTTGGCTACATGTAACGACTATATTACAGCTTCAAGTTTTCATTCACGCCTGGTGCCTCCAGTCCGTCAGCCACATTTGTCATTCCTATTGAGTTTGTCACATCTGTTGGCTCCTGCAAAGCCGCCATTGTTATTCCCAATGTCATCTAGAGCAAAGGTGAATTGCACATCATAAATTCGGAAGAAATGGCGTAGTATCGAAGATCACTCACTGGTTTTGACCACCGCACGTGCAGGTTGTACATTGTACATGGTCATACAGTACAATTGCTCCATTCAACGATATCCACGTCTGTTGATACACCCATATAAGGGTAGATATATGATATTCACATACTAATGAACTCATATTAACCCATATGGCAGTGTGTCAAAACCTTGTACCCCTGGTGAACATCAAAATAGCTGGTAAATGGATGTTCATCCCACTAAAAATGGTATTAATAGGTATTGATCCATACCCATATTAACCCATATGAACCCATATTTTAACCCCTGCCAGTTAGCCTACTTGGTGTGCACCCATTTCCTGTCCCACCACCTTTATTCGGTCGCCTTAATGCTGGCATCGCGGCTGCGATCGCAAACGTAGACGTAAAACCTGGCGCTTTTCGGGAGGCCGTTGATGGGAAAACGTGGGAAAACCATGGGAAAAACATCAGCGGATTTTCACATGGCAGAATCAGTTGGTTTATAAACCCCATGAATACTATAGTTATATCTGCCATAAACCATAGTTATGGGAGTTATAAACCAACTTAGCTAACTATGGGGCACCACCTTGTATAGATACCCTGCAAACAAAAATAAATTCTTAGCTGGTGAAGGTAGATAATCCCATTGATACTTGAAAGGCTAAAGGATTATGAAACTACCCATCCAAGATTGACCTTGTTCACTGGTGAAAAAGAAATATCCACCGGAAAATCAAACATGGCTGGCTGGAGAATCAACCATTTTATTGATGTTATTTATTATCAACACATCCATTTTTGAAGGATTTCCCATTGCCATGTTTGATTACTGGAAGGTATCGTAATTTGTGTTGAGAATGAAATGGTCTGTCTGAGGTTGAACCAGCAAACGGAAGAAAACAGTGCGGTTCTCCAAAGTGTCAGCCAGAAAATATGGGTTCAAATGCAGGAAAAAATGACTCAACTATTGAAGGGTAATTTTGGGGATGTAGCCATTGTTATGAACATGCCATGATAATCTATGACATTAACAGAAGGTCAGGAACAACCGTATTTCCGAGCACATAGATTTCAAATGAAAACCCTAGTGCATCCGTGAACAAAAATGAGGATTGAACCGCGTTTTTTTATTGGAATCTAACCAATGAACGGTGTGAAGACGTCGCCGAACATCTGAAATTTTGAATTTAAGCAACCAGCAGCAATTAGAAACACATCAGAATACACCAACAACATTTTGGGTCAATCATAACGGTTGAGAACTACGCAGTAAAATCTTGGATGTCACAGGCAGAATTTTTTCTGTCATCACCAAAAGCTGGAATACAACCTCTTCGAAGTGCTGGAAGCTAAGAGTGGCCGTGGCCGTCTGGTTGAGGTTGATGGTTGATGGTTGATGGGCCAGTCATGGTTGATGGCTGACGCACATGACATTTGAAATCCATCCCTCCCCGATCACCGGGATGGAACCAACACAGCCCCAGCTGTGTAAAAAAGTGCACGCGAAGCCATCATCCCGAGCGACGTACCAGAAACTTGCTGGCATGAGCTTTGACACATGGTTCTGAGTTGGGGGTTATTTAAAGTTGCCTGAGCAAGCCAACTAAACCACTGACTTAAAGCATCTTAAAGCAATAGATGCCCCAAGCGTGTGAGCGAGCATGGAAGCTTTGGAAGTTCCGGCTCCCAATCATTGAGCGATCACTCTTCCTGCAGGTTAAGGCGGTGTTCATTCCACGCCTGCAGACTGGAACTGTAACATGGATGGCCGTTCAAAAGGCGGATGGATATGACAAGCCCACGTAGACATGCCCCTGCTTTGAGAAAGACCATCAAAGACAGTTCTTTTCAAATCCATGGCCACCAGATGAAGGTCAGCTACGTGCACAAGCGAGTGCTCGTTCGATGATCGCCGGTTGCCATGGTCTGTTGACCAGTTTCTGATTGGGACAAAGCTACAAGCAAATTACAGCAACTTGATGGTTTCCCCGGTTTTTCCAAGATGCTACCGGTAGGCGCTTCTTGATCGTTCCTGTCCCGAAACTTGTGGTCCCAAGCCATCTGTCCCTATAGATTCTCTATTTCTGGTTCCCCCTTTGAAAAATACAACAAATCATCCTGGTTGGTGGTTTCAACCCCTCTGAAAAATATGAGTTCGTCAGTTGGGATGATGAAATTCCGACTGAATGGAAAAATAATCCAAATGTTCCAAACCACCAACAAATCATCTAAACAGTAAGAGAACCACATTGCTATGTCGACAAGAACCATCACCTCAAACCAGGGTCTCCAACCAGGTCTCCACCGGATTCCAACCAGTGCTGTTAATCCAAGCATCCATGATTTTTGGGTTCAGTTGAGACCATGGTCACTTGAACATATTTCGTCAATTCTGTCCATTGTCTCTGTAAATTCTTGATGCTTCAACAACACATAGAAGACCATTTTTGGAAAAAGGCATCCAATGACTACTGGTTGCTGACTTTCATGGTTCCACCGTTCTAAAATGTCCCAACTGTACTTGGCTTAGTTGTCCCTTATTTCATGGCCAACCTTAGATACCCTGCAAAAAAATAGATTCTTTGCTGGTGAACGTAGATATTCCCATTGATACCAAAAGACTAGTTCGGATTAGTTCTACCCATCCAGTTGATTGACCTAGTAAACCATCTATTAATTATCCATTAATTATCCATTAATCATCCATTAATCATCCAGTTGATTGACCTAGTAAAGTGGTAAATCTTGGTCAAGAAATGGGTGACAATTGATTTGGTGAACTTCTTCCATTTTCTAACGGAATTGATCTTTCACCCGCGAAGACCACAACTGGTGTTCAAAACCTTCGGTCATTCCATGTAGGTCCTGGTGATTCCACACTTTATGGTCGATGATAGTCCCAACATATACAAGGTGGCAACCCCATTATTGACTATAGATATATAGACTATAGATATATTATATATAGATATATATCTGGGTAAATTATAATATTTCACTAACATGAATTAAGGCCATTTGGGGATGATTTCCCTTATTAACCATGATTCCAGGGTTCGGTCGCGGCCTGAGGTCATTATAATTTACCCAGATATAGCTACCATAAACCAAAATTACTGGAGTTATATAAACCAACTTCGCTAAGCATGGGGCACCGCCTTGTAGTAAAAGCCATCAAACTTATCATCAACCAGCCGGGGTGTCGAATCTAGCCAGTGCTCACAACAATTTTCTGGGCAAATTAGACATGAACCAATTGAACTAAGCTACCCTCTGGTAATCATACATGGCAAAGGACAATTTTCCATTTATAGATTATTTTCTCATTAACATCTCCGTTAATATGGGTTTTCCATGGTTTTCCCTTTGCCATGTTTGATTGCCGGAGGGTGTTGTTTTTCCTGATCCTTCCTTGGATCCTAACATATCCTAACCACTTTCAGGCTAGATGTTCAGGACTACATGAAACAACTTCTCAACAAAACTCTCACAGCTTTTACATTACATGATTATATAGATCACATTAGATCATTCTAGAACTATTTTGCCATGATTAGATCATATTAGATCATATCGCTTACCCTCTGGTACACTAACGTAACTATGGAAAATCACCCTTTTTAATGGGTAATCCCACTATAAATGGCCATTTTCAATAGCCAACTGTTAGTTTACCAGAGGGTAGTTCTGAGATGTCTGAGAGCGCTGGAGGATCTTTTCCGCCGTTGGTGCCCTTGGAGAAATTGGGACTTTGAAATGTCAGTACTCTCCGGGTTCGGGTTTAGGGTTGAAAACTCACCGAGAAATCCAAGTTTTTTGCGGCTCAAATCCCATAGTATTGTGGTTAATTATATCATCTGGTTGGTGGTTTGAACCCCTCTGAAAAAATATGACTTCGTCAGTTGGGGTTATTATTCCCAATACATGGAAAGTCAAAATCCAAATGCTCCAAACCACCAACCAGTCGTATATATATATATATCTCTCTTTATTTGGGGTGCTGAAATCCCTCTTGTGCTTTAAGCTTCCTAGACTTTTGAAGCTTGAACTCCCAACTCGAGATTTCGCGGCTCAAACAAGGCCACTGCGGCCGGAACCCTTGCGGGGACCATGAGGTCGAGAAAGTGTCGCTCTCCGGGACATTCACCTGGCATTTCCACATTTTTGTTGGGACCATGCAGTGGGGTGTTTTTTGTTGGGCATTTCCACATTTTTTTGGGAGCAAGTGGGGTGTGAAAAATATTATGATGGGATTTGTGCAATTTGGCGATTTTGAAGGATTTCAGCACTGAAATTTGAGGATTCATGGCCAATCTGCCAGCAAAAAAATGAGCAATTCTTCGCTAACGTAGATGATCCATGCTGACCCCACTGATACCAAGACTAGAAAGGATGAGTTTCTACCCATCCACTTGATTGACCTAGTAATCATCCATTAATCATCCATTAATTATCCGTTAATCATCCATTAACTATCCCATTTTGGTTGGTTAATGTTGGTTATATACCCATTATATCCTCAATGGTTGGTTGTATATCCTCCATCCAGTTGATTGACCTGGTAAAGTGGTAAATCTTGGTCAAGAAATGGGTGACAATTGATGCAACGGAAATCACCAACTGGATGTCCATGGCCACCTTTGATTGGAGAACAACCCTTCTGAAAAAAATGGCAGATACCAGGATATACATAATAACGGAAGTATTATGCGAATATCCTCATTATTCATATATATATATATATATCAGATACCATTATGTATATATATATATATATTCCTGGAGAATCCGATAGCTAGTATGTTCATTCCCCAAAATCACATCTAATCCAAGGATCTAATCCATCCACGTGTACTTTTTTAGTGGCATAATCATAAAATATCATATAAAATATAGGCTTGCCTGAAAATAGTGTGCTCAATTTTTTGATGCTTCATCACTTCACCATCATTTCACCCGTCAAAAAGGGCAACTTTGAGGGATCCTGGATTGGCCCAAACGGTCGTTAGGCCACACTTCACCCATATTCCCAGCATTGTCCCCACGGTTGATTCGATCCCAGAAGTATACGCTGCAATGCTGCAAAGTCATCAGTTTAGGAATTCATATATATATATATATGGATAAATTATAACAATTATATAACAATTCACTCATCTCAATTAAGGCCATTTTGGGATATTTTTCCCCTTACTGACAACCATTCGCAGTGACTTCGGGACGTGAAGTCGCTAGAAGTCACCTGGTGATTTTCCCATCTCGGTACCTCCATTGAGTTCGTAAAGTTTCCCAGCTAGCCATGTTTCGTTCTACCGGAGGGTTATCTCAATATCTATTATATCCCCACTCATATTCCTATCATATCCCAGGTGTGCTTGAAATGAAATTGCTGGTTATGCTGCATTATATCCCATTGAATCCACATGATCCAAGTATATTCAACATTTTCAACCATCCAACCATATTTCCACTTTATATACCCATTAGAATCCAATGAAACCCACTCAATCACGATTTTTGCAGGTAAAATAGCCTAATTTTAGTATGATTGGTAGTGATTTCCTATCAAAACCTACTGTATGGTCCTATGGTATTCTCATTGTATTCCCATTGCATATTCCCTTTTTTGAAAAACACATATAAAACTGTATATTTCTGGGAAAATTATAATGTTTTACTAACATGAATTAAGGCCATTTGGGGATGATTTCCCTAAAATAAACCAATAATTCCAGGGTTCGGTCGCGACGTGAGGTCGTTATAACATGTTATAACTTACCCAGATATTTCCCTTATAAAATAGCCATGTTTCACCGAAGCTCCGCTCCAATGCCTCGCCTCCACTTGATGAAACGGACAAGGTTCCTCTGTCCACCAGACTGTGTCAAGACGGTGATAGGTAAAGAGCCTGCACCCCTCCTGGAGTGGGGCTGATGTAGCAACCGATTTGCCATTGGGGATTTAGATGTAGTTTGGTGAAAATTCGGAGTGTAACCAAATTTGGGGAGTGAATGCTGTTGTTTCAACGTTTCTTAATATGTTTTTAAACAAACAACAAAGACATTAGGGATTTCGCAACGAACACATGTCCACCATCATGTTAGTAACTCCAACCCCAACGTGGAGCTCAACAGATTCACCCCAGGGTCTTGGTGTAGCAGATCACCCCCATCAGGTCCTTTCTGGTATGTGATCACGAGTCTACAGGCGCCACGTGCCCGGTGCGTAAACACGTCTGCAAACATCGAAAAACATGCCTAAGAAATGGCAGCAAGTTGCTGCTTGAGTTCATTCGCAAGACGATAACTTCTGATCCACATACCCCATACAGATGGCCCATACCCAAATCATCTGTTCATGGGAATAGTTGGAAATCTAAGACCACCAAAGCTTGATGTTCAAGTTGAAACTGAACATGGCTAAACTTCGATGCCCAATGAAAAACAACATTTTGCTGATCAGTCATATTTTTCCATTTGAACACCAAATAATCCACTAGCCTACCCTTCACCACTGCCGCATTTGTGGTTCGGTAATGTTTCTGTGTTATCTTCAGGTCTCCCTGCAATGATGGACCATCACATATCAACTTCAAACCAATGAGATTCTGATTCTGATTCATGTCCGCCCCTTTTTTTTAGATTTTGGGGAGCATTTTGCAGACCCAACAGCAGCTATATTCACCATTAGCTTCTTGTCACTCTTGACGGTCCAGTTCATTGTATTTGGGTTCCCAGATATCTGGAAAATTTCTACAATGTGGGCCCCCCCGAGTGATTTTTGTTGGCTAAAAAAAAACCTATGAATACTATATCATCATAAGCCATACCCTCTGGTTATGACTAACATAGCTATAGAAAATTGCCCATTTAGTTTGTTGATTTACCTATTAAAGATGGTGATTTTCCATCGTTTTTGTTTACCAGAGGGTAGTTGTTGGAGGCAATGATTTACCTGAAAAGTGCGGCTCACAATGGGGAGAATTAGCCCTGCTATCATTCCAGTGTACCCTTTGGTAAACTAACATGGCTATTGAACATGGCCATTTATAGTTGATTTACCCATAAAAAATGGTGATTTTCCATAGTTATGTTAGTTTACCAGAGGGTAATCTCAACGAGGTCGCTACAATTCCGATGCCCATTTTATCCCCCTGGTATCCCACTAAACAGACTCTCCAGTAAATTAACATGGCGAAAATGGCCCGCTGATAGATAACTTTAACCCTTTAACCTTTATGGTGATTTTCAGCTGATCGGGCAGCAATTCAAAAACCATTCGACCGGCACTTGCAAGATCAGTTTTGGAAGCGGCTTCCACTTGCCGGAGAGCTAAAGATCCATTCGACATTCCTTGGCCTGCTCGGTTTCTCGTTTGCCGTGCCTTCAACAGTGGCGTCTTTTTTAGATCTTCGCTGAAGGCCTCGCAAATAACGTCCACCAAGAACTTGCAAACAACCTGTTGACAGCTCTGTCGAGAGAAATTGCCGCCTCTGGATCAGAGATTATATAAATAGCTCCGACATCGTTCGCAAAAGGACCTGGCAATACAATATATGTCTCTGTGAAACACAGGGTAGGCACAGATGTTGCATTGCCACAGCTAAAACTTACCAGAGGGTAATTTTTGTTGGCTACCCTCTGGTAATTTAACATAGCTATTGAAAATGGCCATTTATAGTGGATTTTCCAATTAAAAATGGTGATTTTCCATAGTTACGTTAGTTTACCAGAGGGTAACTCCCATTTTTTGCCAACAAAAAATCACCACCTCACCGCCTGTTCCCCGCATCCAGGACGACCCCGCCGTTTTTCGCGGCTCCTTCACCTCCGTAAACCTGCGGTTTTTAACGTATCAAGGAGTTGCTGGGGGGGTTCGAGGCAGCTTCAGGACATTATAGTGGTTATATAGCCATCATTAACCATCATCAACCATCATTAACCATCATTTATAGCCATTATAGTGGGATAACCATCATCAACCAGTGGTTATATGGGTCTGTCTGAAAATGGGGTATACCCCCAATGAAATAGCCATTTAGTAGGGATAATGATCAGCAAAACCATTGGGTGTAGGGGTACACTATTTTCAGACAAACCCACATAGCCAACCTCATGTTTTTTTTGCTACAAGGCGAGGCTCCATGAACAGCTAAGTTGACTTGTAACTTGGTCAACTGTGGTTTATAAGTTTATGGGAAAATAACATTATAATATGATACGGGTTGGTGGTATACCTACCCCTCTGAAAAATATGAGTGAAAGTCAGTTGGGATCCCAATTAATATGGAAAGTCAAAAAAATCCATGGTTCCAAAGCACCAACCAGGATATAACTATAGTTGATGGGGCCCCATAAACCAAGAAACATCAGAGGGAAAGCCTCACCCGCCGTTTGCACCGGAGATTTGATGATCCTCTTCCGCCGAACGGGCGATCCCACATGGCTTGCTGGATAAAAAACCCATGTATCGATGCTCGTTTAATTTCCTATTACCCTCTGGTAAACTAACATAACTATGGAAAATCACCATTCTTAATGGGTAAATCCACTATAAGTGGGCCATTTTCAATAGCTATGTTAAATTACCAGAGGGTAAATCCTCCATTTATACGGGGTAATCTCCAGTTTTCCATTGCCACAGTTGATTGCCGGTATTTTCCCTTGGTAGTCAGCTTGCATTTGCTATCCCCACGCTTGTTGGGTCGAATCTCCTTTGTGTCTATGGTGATCTTTCAAAAAAAATCCACAAAACTGCTGGGGAATAGTAATTTAATCCCGCAAGAATCCAAGGTTTGGCCAAAAGTAGAGGGAGATACATACATATATATATATATCCATATATATATACATATATATATATATATCATATATATATATATAATATATATATATATAATATATATATATATATAATATATATCATATATATATAATATATATAATATATATATATTATGTATGTATAATGTATATATATATATGGAGGCACCAAAGGAAACTTGGAGCATGTCAAACCTTAAACCTATATAGGATTGTACCACAGAAATATGGAAATTTGGTGTTTTTTAGATCCTGGCCATGTGGGCATCTGAAATCCTCAAGCAGAGCCAAACTCGTTGGCTCGTTGGCACTTGGGTACCCCATTCCATTCCAGCAGAGCAAATAATATCTACTCATCATTTTCCCTGTTGATCTCTCAAAACTGGGGATTTCGCCTTCATGGCGTCTATTTGATCTCGACTGGTCATGACCCTTGGACCTTTCGCCCCTTCATGGCGCCCTTGGACCCACCCGGCCTTTGCGAAAGCTTTGGGAAGAGTTTCCAGGGAATGTTCACAGCGAAAAAAATGACCTTCGCCACCGCGGGAACACATTCTGCACCGCCTATCTGTCCATTACCAAGCACACGAGTCATGTGACCCAATCCAAATAGTTGTTTCTGAACATCGGGATACCTGAAGTCTTATAGATGATGATCATGGGATCTTGAAGTACCCTAGATCCCAAGGCAAACCCAAATAGAAACAGGTTCGACAACTGCAAATTATGCCGCAGATCTCCAACCATGCGCAATTCTTATCATGATCAATCTTGGGTGCCTGCAAGATTTACTATCATTTTTATTTTTAGCTTCGTAGGTTCATATATTCCGCCAGGTGCTCAGGTGAACCAAGAACAACTTAGGATCTGAGAGGTTCTAACACTCTTGGGATGGCGGCTGTGGGCTACCCTCTGGTAATCAAAAATGGCAATGGAAAACAACCCATTTATACAGGATGGCCCCCCCCCAGTTATAAGTTGGTTTATAAACCAGTATAATCCCCATTAACTAGTTATATCTACCACAAACCATAGTTAATTCAGACACTTATTTGCACCAACTGAACGCTATCGCCATGCTTAGTTTCCAGAGGCTAGCGAGACCAAAATCATACCACCTCTTCCTGGCACATCATTGACGTGCGAAAGCTGGTTTTCTTTAGCCCAAATAGCAAATGTTATCCCGTTCAAAAAAAATAACAGGATAAAATTAAACTACAGTCACTAAGTAGTGGATTTCTTCCCATACTTAATAACATGGATTTCTTCCCAATACAATTGTGTTTAGTAGGTTAGAAAGACCATGGATTAATCCGTTCTTCAATAAAACTGGCCCTGCTACCAGAGACTAGTGGCTTCACCAAGGCCAAAAAACTTCGGTACCACTCCCGGAGCAATGACCAGCTTGGTGCTTCGGGGCTTCAAGCAGGAAGCTTAACGACCTAAAATCATCAACCCAATGGAATCTTGGGACGGTCATGAACCCATTTCTATCCATTTCTAGGGTCTGGAACTGTTGCTTTCCAGACCATTCTGGGATCCCAAGTCCAAGAAACAGCTGTAATGGTCCCCCCAGTTGTGTAGTTTGTTGGTAAAAAAACGTGAACACTACAGTAGCTTTAAGTACCATAGAGATTGGAGTTAGGTTCACCCACTTAGCTATATACCCTCTGGTAAACTAACGTAACATAACTATGGAAAATCACAATTTTTAATGGTTAAATCAACTATAAGTAGGTCATTTTGGTCATTTTCAATAGCAAACTGTGAATGTTTACCAGAGGCTGTTCGATTCCGAACCGTTGGACCGGGTTTCCCACGTTGCATTGCCTCACCAAGTCCAAACCTCATGCTGGCCACAGCGGTGCTTATGCGATGAAATATTTCCTGGCATGAATTAAAATTGCTTCATGTTGACGTCAGAAATTTGCGGTGATGAACCTTACCCTCCGGTAATTTTACAGTTTGCTATTGAAAATGGCCACAGAAATAGTGGATTTACCCATTAATCATGGTGATTTTCCAGTTCGCCACGTTAGTTTACCAGAGGGGACTTGGGATTGACGAACTGACAAAAAAAATTCCCCGAGTTATCGCGAAAAAACAGATTCAAAGAGTAGGATTCTTACAATACACCAATGAGAATTGGCTTGTAATGTTGGTAAAACAATACTAAACCATCCCCCAGTCATCACCATAAATTTTCCAATAGGTGGTATGGTTGCCATTCCCAAATGGGTGATCTATGCCATTGTTTTACCCACATTATAGTATTATCTGTTTGCTCTATAACTAATGAGGTACTTTATTTTTTTTGGTTGAAGACACATGGTGATGCTATCTGGGCTACATAGATACTGGTCACCAATTTGTTTGGGAGATAGTCAAACTAGTAGTAGGTTGCCTGACATTTCCAACATTTCCAAGAAGACAACATCCTGCTTTCTGGAGCACTGATGCCTACCATCACACGTATATTTGCGTGTATATATATATATACACATCTGATTTAAATATATACATACATTCCTGTATAATATATATATATAAACACTATATACAACTCAAGCGTGATTACATCGAATATACAATAAACATATAATGAAAAATGACACTGATAACACTGGATAATGTGTGGATTTAAATAGACCAACGATTCAAACATAACCGTTTATTCAACATAATCTAACCATTATTCCATGGTTCAACTCCTTCATCTAACATTTAATGATGGGATTTACCCAAGTACGATGACTACACCATAAGGTAGGCTCCCCAGTTATAAGTTGGTTTAGATTTCCCGTAAACTATATATAGATATGATACAACCCACAAACCCTAGATATTGGAGTTGCAAACTAACTTAGAAAACGATGGAGCACCTCACTTGTTTAACTGGTTATCATTCATAACACCCATCCCCTCATAAATCGGTCATAAATCGGTCATAAATCGGTCATAACTCAATTTCTAATCATCTAAGGATACCACATGTCAATGGGAATTCCAGTATCCAAAAATATAGGTACTGTACCATATAAGGCCATATTTTGCTGGGATATTCCCTGAAATTTACGCCTTATATATGGTAGGTACCTCCTATTTGGGTTCCTGAAATGGCCACTGATAATATGAAAGTCACTTGGGATTATTATTCCCAAAATATGGAAAATAATCCAAATGTTCCAGATCAATGGGAATTCCAGGATCCTAAAATGGAGGTACTGTACGATATAAGGCTATATTTTGTGGCGATATTCCCTTACATAGGCCTTATATAGGCCTTATATATGGTAGGTACCTCCATTTTAGGATCCTAAAATTCCCATTGACCAGACCACCAACCAGTAATCATCTAAGGATACCACATGGGTCTTCTACAAACAAACGATGACTTCAATGGATTGCTAACATTGAATCAAGGACAGGTGCCCTTCGGGAATCCTGGCAATGGACAATCCACTATTTATAAATGATTATGATTATTTATGATGATAACATGCCGATGACGCCATTATAAATATATGATTATGATGCCATGGAATCATATATGATTATGATGCCATTTATAAATAATCCATGCCCTTTTTTGATGATATTCCCATGGTTATTGTCCAACAAAAAAGATCATGATATCCATAGATGAATGTTTATAAATCTATGATAGCCATAGATTAATGTTTATAGATGATATTCCCAATCAAATATGCATTTACCCTATGGTTATTTAACGTAGCCATGGAAAATCACCATTTTTAATAGGTAAACCATCTATACATGGGCCATTTTCCATGGCTATGTTAAATAACCAGAGGGTATTTTATATTCCTAGCTATCCAAGATTGGCCATGACAACCTATCATCACAAGAAACCAAAATCCCATCAAAATAGCTACCCTCTGGCTATTCCAAAAACATTGTGTTTCCCATTTTTGGATATGTTTTTGGCCATGACAAGCTACAGGATGGTGCCCCCCAGTTATAAGTTGGTTTATAAACCCCATTAACTATAGTTATATCTGCCATAAACCATAGTTATGGGAGTTATAAACCAACTTAGCTAACTATGGGGCACCACCTTGCACAATTGGATCACATATCCAAAAACAATGGATTCATCCTGTCCATTTCCTCCAAGTCACCCAAAGAGAAGAAATCTGCGCAGTGGCATTGCAGCACTCTCCCACCGCCCTGGGATATTGTGGCGGATATTGAATGGGATATAACCAACCTGGTTGGTGGTTGACCTACCCCTCTGAAAAATATGAGTGAAAGTCAGTTGGGATGATGACATTCCCAAGGTATGGAAAAATAATCCAAATGTTCCAAACCACCAAAAAATCAACAATATGCGATTTGGATGAGTCGGAGAATGTTTTGAAAGGGGTTAATTTTAATAGGTATCTGGGGCCAATTTGGGTGATTTGTCGCATACTGATTCGCATCCCATACCTGTGGGTATCTAATAACTTGACACATACCAAAATTGGACTAGATAGCCTTGTGCATGTTTGGACATTTCTCTTGGGGAAAAGCAATGGTTTCATGTATCCATGGTGGGCTAATTATTTGGGGATGACGACTAAGATCCATTGGGTGCTTTGGAATGATGGGTATTTCTCGTTGCCTCATCAGACTAGCTTACCGGGTAAATCCTGTAGGTTGGACCCCGAGGTTTTTGTTGATTACATACCCACTTGGTGGTTGTATTCCCAAACCCTTGCCCCCATGCTATTGACTAAGTACGTTCTTTTGACTGGTTTGGGTGGTGGGATAGGGATTGTGCTTTTCCACATCTAACTGGTGATAAACCCACTTTCCAAGTCGGGTGAAGCATCATAAGCAATGTTCAGAAGCGCCCCTTTGTAGTGGCGGGTTTTCCCAGGAGCCGCAAGGGATTGTGCTTGCACCCCAACCTGGTAGTGTTGCCCCATATACTATATACCCTCTGGAAATTTAACACATCTATTGAAAATACCACATTTATAGTTGATTTACCTATTCAAAATGGTCATTTTCTATAGCTATGTTTGTTTACCAGAGGGTAATCCATGGATGATCCTTTATCAATTTTAAATCATGCTGAAAGTCCCAAAAATGACGGTTAACTCACCATTTTGAATGACTAACCATCAACCAAAAGTGGCTTCAAACACTGAAGTAACAAACCATTGCACCGTTAGTGTTGGCTACATATTCCTTTTACATCCCTATAATATGCCCATATCACAGGGTTATACAGTTATACATCCATTATATCTGTATTATGCCCAACAGTTAGATAAACCACTGATGTTTTAATATTCCTGATATTTCCACTATATTCCCTCTATGTCTCTGTGATATTCCCATTGTATTATCACTGCGTTTCCAAGGAAAAATTACATGGAACAGGTCCTATTGTGTTCGCGATAATCATGAAGTTTGCATTGTATGAATATCCTATATACAGTATACATCTAACACATAATTATACTTCATATCTTACCGTAATATATATATAATTATATACACATTCAAATATGTATGAGCCATATCCTATCGTTCAGTTCTCAAGGTTGAACTCTTCCTTTATGGTAATATAATTTTCATATCAATTCATTGCGCAGTTTCCCATCCATATTATTGTCAGTACATATGATATTCCGGTATATCCTGTTATGACAATCCCATTGATTTCGTATTCTATCATGTCCCTGTTGGTTGATGAACATTGGGGACTATACTAAACAATAGAGGAGTATCAAAATCCATTGTGGGAATCCGTATAAACGATTGAATATCATAGCTGCTTCGTTTCAACCCCTCTGAAAACTATGAGTTCGTCAGTTGGGAGTATGATTGGAAAAATCATGTTCCAAGAACATTTGTTCCCACATATTCCCATATATTCCCTGCTTGGTGGTTAACCCATATATTCCCATACATTAGTCCCAATACAAATGTTCCAAGCCACCAACCAGAATATCATCCAAGATGGGACTACGCACCGTTTCCTGTTCAAACACCACGCCCAATGTTTAGCGACGCTCCCCAGACCTCTAAGGAGATCTTTTCGCCCGCCACGTGGTCTGTGATCCTGCACGAAAAGTGTTGGCCTTGGACCTTTCCAACCGCACGGCTCGAATGGCTCGAATGGCTCGAAACAGTGATTTAAGCCGCAAAACAATTCCACATGCATCCAACGCCAGAGACATCTTTTTCGGATGGTGGAACCTGGTTGGGTTGACCTCAGCTGGGATCTGTGCTGCAGCTGGGTCTCCTTTGTGCATGGTTACGCACATTATACCCTCCACCACTTATGGGTGGGTGGGTGAGGAAAACAAAACAATGGGTGGATGCTTGCCAGGGCACTTGAGCCAAAATGGCACCCATGGCAAGCAATCCACCCACCAACCCCTTAGCATGCTGAATTGTTCAGCAGGAAATTCCGGGGCTCCATTTCCTTTCCCAACAATTCCACATGCATCCAACACCAGAGACATCTTTTTCGGATGGTGGAACCTGGTTGGGTTGACCTCAGCTGGGATCTGTGCTGCAGCTGGGTCTCCTTTGTGCATGGTTACGCACATTATACCCTCTTCTGCAACTGCGCGATCTCCATGCACTTTTTGCAGACTTGTCCTCCTTCCTCCGACGCCAGGAACATGTAGTCCGACTTGTGGTAGTGCCAGCCGCACATCGTCTTCCAGGCCAGAGGTGGAGTGCAGGCGGTCATGTTCCAGTTGTGGTGCACGATCCTGCTGTCGAGCAACCTGACGAAGGGGGGAAGTCTCCCGTTGTTTCGGTCGGCCCTTTTCTTCATGGACTCGATTTCAAAGTCCATGGCTTTCAAGGCGCGCTGCTGGTGCTCCTGTGCCAGGGACAATTCGGAGAGGAGGTAATCTCTGACTTCCTCCACGTCCCTGGGCTTATAATTGATGGGCCCCATTTCATTGTGTTCCTTCGTGCCGTAGAGGTTCGTGATGAAGGCTCTGTTGGCATTGACCGGCAGGCTTTCCAAAGCTTCGGCCGCGTACTCGTAGATCACGTCGGACTTCCAACGCCCAAGGTAGGCCACCTGTGGGATGGCCCACCCATGCCGGATGTACCGTAGGGCCCCTGTTCTCCTGGTGGAGTGTCCGGATGTGCCCTTTCCATAGAGCTTCTGCCACTCCTTGACGACCTGGGACTTCTTTGCCTTCTTGCCCTTGTTGGTCACGGCGGCGTGGTGTGTTTTCAAGTCCTCCATGCCGAAGACGAGCAGGGCTGACACTCGCAGTGGACACCCCGTGGAGCAATCCTTACTCTCACAGAGGCACTGCAGCATCCTGGTCATCACCAACCCTGTTTGGTCCGTCTTCGACACCGGTATGGTGAGGACCACACTACGGCTCTCCACGTCCACCTTCAGGTGATCCTTCGTCAGCAGGGCCAGCTCAATCTCGCGAAGCATCCAGATCACTCCAAACTCGAACAGCTCCCTGGCTAGCGGGACCGTCTTAGGTTTCTTCCTCGTCACTGTTGGGACAAAGGTTTTGCCCGTCTCTTGCACCGGGACTTCCTTGGCCTTCTTCTTGGGCCCCAGAGCTCTCGTTGTGGACCTTTTGCAAAGCTTCAAAGTCCTCTCGAGCTGGTCGGACCATTGGTGGCCCCCTTCGATTGCCATGATCTTGAACTCTCCCAGGTATTGCGGTGCCGCGCGATAGTTGGCCTGTTTGAGCACACCCGCAAGCACCTTCAGCTTCTCCGTAGTGGCCGTAGTGGGGGGTACCGGCGGCTCGCCCCTCGCCTCCTTGAGGATCTTTCCAATAGTAGCCCTCATCGCCTTCTTGGTGGCCACCGACGTCTTCGAGTTGAAGCCCTCTTCCAGCTCTGCGACGGCTGTCTTGCTCCTGCTCGCCCTTCTGGCCAGTTCCAACACGTTCACTGCCTTCCTCTTGCGGGAGCCTTGCGAGGCTGGCTTGCCGTCTAGGTTGAGCTTCGGGACGGCTATCCTCTCCGTCTTGTCCTCCTTGGGTTCCTTCTTGGGGCTCCACATGTTGTATACCGACTTGCACGTCTCGGACGCCATCTTGAAGACCCTGCTCAGGGCTGGGGCAGCGCCGAAGATGCCTCCCTCTGCTGTGTTTTCCCTCTGGGTGTCACCCCTCTCGACGTTTGCAGGTACCATCATGCCGGGCACGAACTCCATGGGCGGCTCTCTGTCTACCAAGGTGGTTCGATGCAGCCGTCCAAAACTGCTCAGTCCTGCGCTTGGGCTCAGATGGCTGCCCATATCATTGTGAAGGGGTTGTGGCCTGGTCCTGCCAAACACTTCCCCCATTGAGACGCTTGGTCCCTCATATTGTCCTTCGTCACCATGAGCACCACGACCTCGACTTCTCCCAAAGACATCGCTCATGGTTACCCTTGACTGGTTCGCCTCGAAGGGTTCCTGCGGTTCACCAGGGTTGTCAAACCCCTGGCTGGCGCTGCTTGGTCCGCTCCTCCTTGGCTCGATTGACGTTGTCGCGGGCACTCGGAGTAGTCTCGTAATAGACACCCCGGATGCATTGCTTCCCATGCCCACACCCTCCCCGCGTTGACCCTCGTGCAGGGGTCGAAAGGGCAGGTTTGCCTGCGTCTGCAGCATCTCAGACAGGCCCAAGCCAAGGCTGTCGCGTGGCAAACGAGCCCTGTCAGGGCCAGCCATTGGATGAGCAAACCCAGCGGGGTGTCAGGGGGCATATTGAGCCAGTTCTGTGGGGAGAACATCAAATGACAAGATGACCTGTGGATTACGAACCTCCTTACCTTTTGCCTTGCAGTCACAACGATAACACAAGGGGGCTGCAGCCATTTTTAACCAAGCCAAGACATCCAGGGTCCTGTCGGGTCTGTATCTTCCGACTTGCCCCAAAGGTCCGGTCGGCGGCCTGGCGTCGGTAAGGGATAGAAGTCATCGTCCCTGACAACACTCGCCGAGATGGTTCCTTCGCCAACCTCGGGTGGTCTGGTGGACTTCCCCCACATCGACGGCCGGCTCAAATAGTCTGCAACCTTGTTTGCCACGCCGGGGATGTGCTGGAGCTTGGCATCCTCCACTCTGTACCGCTCCAACAGCACACCCAACACGGCGCCGCAGAAATTCTGGGCGGCTGAGGCTCCTGACTTCTTCTGGGTGGTGGCCAAAGCTGTCACCGAATCCGATTGGATGGTGATATGTACGTTCATGCCTGCCAGCTTGGCCCCCCAGTGGTGCAAGGCCATGATGATGGCCAAAGCCTCGACCACCCCTTGAGAGGAGGAAGAGCCCAGCTCGAAGCCCAGTGCCTTCGCGTCGAACTCCGTGACCGGGGACGCCACTGTGTCAATGACTTGGTCATTGATGACCAGCACCGCGCCCAGCCCTTCCGGGGAGGCGTCAGTGATAATGTTCACCTTGGCTTTGTCCCGGGCGGTGAGAGCAATCTTCCTCGACAGCCTTTCCTTCGCCACGTTGAGGTACTGGGTCAAGGCCAAACGGGCACCTTCCAGACGTTTGACCACGAAGAGGCCGTCCTTGTTCCTCTGGTCCGTTCGGTTGTCCCTCCTTACCGCCTCCTTGCCTGATTTCACTTCGGCCTCCCTGTCCGCCATCACGGCGTAGAAGACCCTCAGGATCCACTTCGTCCTTGGTAGGACCCCGGAGAGCCAGGAGAGCTTCCCCGTGACCGTCCGCAGCTCGGCCATAGGCGCCATGCCTCTTCCTTCCCATTCCTTGATCCTCCCCTGCAGGTCGGCGATGAACTTCTCCGGCAGGGTGACCAACACCTCCCTGTCCGAGAGGAGTTTGAACTCTACTCCTGCCCACGTCACTGCAGAGCCTCTTTCACCTTTGCCCACCGAGAGCTTGAAGCCAATCGCCGCCATCGTGTACAGGACGAAGCTCAGGATGACGTTCCTGCGAGCGAGGGTGCCTTGCAGTGCCCACAATGAGTCATCGAGGTAGGTCTGGTGCTGTGCCTCATCATGTGGGAGGCAGGCTTGCAACACCCTGGACGTCCACGCTGCCATCCTCGACCACAGCAGTGGGGCAGTGCGGAAGCCGAACAACAAGGCCCTGAACAGCAGGTAGCCGTCGCCCTCAACGTCAGGGGTCAGGGTGTGCTCCAATTCCTTCTCGTGCACCGGCAGGTGAGGGAAGGCATCTGCGATGTCTATGAGCGTGAGCTCCCTGGTCCATCTGGCCTTCTGCTCCTCCACGGTGACTTGCTGATGGAGTTTGTGTAGACTCCGCACCATGGCCACCGCGTCCATGGCCCTCGGCAACACGATCTTCTCACGAAGTCGCGCTTTGCTGTTGCCTCCGGAGCGCCTGAGGTCTATTATCAAACTCCTCTTGCAAGAGCCGTCTGGCCTCGTTTTGACAATGATGGCCAGTTTGGAGATGGTGCCCTGTGAGAAGTGCTGGTCCACCTGTTCCTTCGAGACCTTCATCACGTACCCAAGGTCCAGGAGCCTCTGTATCTCCTCCTTGGCGTCCTCCATGTTGTCTGCGATGCTGGTGTAGTTGGTGAGCGACCCCCGTGCTATCTGCAGGCTGGCGTCCATCATCACCTCTGGCTCGCCTTCCTTGTCCGATGGGGGAAAGACGCCCTTCGGCTCGATGTCGAGGTTGACGCCTAGTGGGGTGCCCTTCTCCACCCAGTCTGCGAGGTCCGTGTCGGGGTCCCCGGACTTGCGGGTCCACGCCCTGATGAGGTCCGCATCAAGCGGGGACTTGTACCTCCATCTTGACTGAAGGTCCACCGTGGGCTTGCCTTGACTGCCCACCAGCTTGCGTAGTTCGGCCTTCCACTTCTCCACTGTTGGTTTGTCCATCTTGCAGTCGGCGGTGCCATAGGTTGAAGATGTCTCCACCGCGCGCGGGTTCCGGCTGACAAACCTCTCCCACGCTGCAAAGATTCTGAGCCCCAAGTTGAGGGAGCCTGGCATTCCTTCCACCGTTTCAGTGGGGTTCCTCATGCCGCCCAAGTAGTTGAGGTTGGCTGGGTTGTTTTCCTTCGCCTTCGACTCCTTCAGCATGCCGTAGTTGCCGCTCCCTCCAATCCATGCTTTTGCTTCCTTGGGGTCGTCCTTCTCCGTCTTCATCGGAACCTTCGTGTCCTCGTCATCTTCCGTCTCGTACTCATAGGTGTACTCATCTTCTTCCTTGGGTCTTGCCTTTGATTTGGAGGTGGCTGTGCTTTCGGCTTTTGCCTGCTCCGCCTCCTCCTCTTTGGTCTTTGCCCTTGGTTCATCGGCATTCCCTGCTGGTGATGGGGACCTCTCCCTCTTGGCGCTCTTGCGGCGTAGTTCATCCACCTCCTTCTTCAAGTCTGCTTCCCTCTTGGCGTAGAACTCGGCGGTGGCTAGTCTCCTGAAGTGATGGATGACCAGTTCAGCGTAGGCCTCACACAGCTCGTCTGAGTAATGGCCCGATTCCACCGATCTGGCCTTACCTACCACAGGAATGTGATCGGCTTTCCCACAGGGGCAGGTTCCGGCTAAAGACCTTATGCCCAGCAAACTCCCAGCGAACATCTGGGGTTTGAAGGTCCTCTTGCCCAGCTCCACCCTCCGTTGGAAATGACAGGAGGTGAAGGCGACCTTCGTCCAGTCCAGCTTTTCCACCGCGCTGTGCACTTCCGGAAGTTCCCATGCCGAGCAATGTTGGTCGTGGTCGGATGGCGGGGGGTTTTCCACCGTCACTGCGGGCTTGATGACGTCGTCAGGCCTGGAGTTTGCAATGACTTCAGCCATCATTAATGACCTGGAGGCATGTAGGGTCCCCTGATCACATTCCTTCTGAAGAGCAACTGAGTTCCCTGGTATCCCATAAGGGTGTGATCTGGAGCGGCATGGACCTGGATAGCCCTCTCTCTCCCGCCACCGCAATCTCGAGAAGGAGGTACATGGGAACCCTGCGTGGTACCCGTCCCACTTGCCCTCACGGGCTTGTTGGAGGAGTTTCGCATAGGGTTGATCTGCCAGTAGATCGGCTCCTCCATTTTCACGGTCATAGCTTTCCACCGTGACCTTCATCTTGCACCTCTTTGCGAGCCTCTCCAACGTAGTGCCCAAGGGGTCATGGGGACCTGAGTAAAGGTGCAGGAAGAAGAACCTGCGTTTCATCAGGTAAATGTCCAACGTCATGAGCTTTCCGTTGAACTCGGCTTTGTCTTCGTTGTGCTGCCTTCGACGCCTCCTGGATCTTGATCTCTCTTCGCCGGCCTTATCTTTGTCCCCGCTGCGGCTGTCCCGCCTTTCTCTTCCCCGGCGGTCAGCGTTCGAGCCTGCCCACATCCAAAGTGGTGGATACCATGATGTCTTGTTGGCATCATCTCCCATGTCCGACCTTCGCCTTGTTGTGGGGGTCCTGCAAAACCAATCCATCTGCAGCTGGGCGATCAACCGTCCTTCTGAGGGCATTGACATGAAGGGTGTCCCACCGAGCCGCACTTGGTGCATGCGTGCGCCCTTGCCACCCTTCCTTGGCAGGCGGCACCTGGTGGTAAGCCAGCACAGGCCCCATTGTTGTTGTTCCAGGCGTAGCATGCCTGTGGCTTCTCTTTCCCCTTGCCTTTGCCCTTCCCGTCGCCTTTGATCTTCTTGGCGTCTGTCGGACCTTCGGCATCTGTTTGTTTCCGTTTGGACGCCTCTCTTCTCCTGGCGTTCCTTGTCCTTCGTGTCGAAGATGGTGTCCCCGCCGTGGATTCCGTGTCCGGCTTGATCGCATTGATGCCTCCTTGAATTGAGGCTGCAGCGACCGCTTCCGCCGGCGTCAGCGGCTTTCCTTTGGATCCGTGCGCCAGCCATGCATTCGCTGGCACATGAACCTGCTCCGCCCAGAACGAGCTGTCCTTCACGAGCATCCTGAATAGGCACTCCCAAGGGTTTTCTGCTGCCCATCCCATTGGTTCCTTCGTGCCGTTGGCGATGTCCAGGTTCACTGAGACCCTCAGTCTTACCAAGTGCTCTGATCTCCCAAGGTCGTCCGCCGCCACGATGAGGTGCCAGGCCCCTGGGTAAAAGTCGGTCCAGCTTCTCCACATGGGCCTCGTACGCCACGCACGTAGCCATCGTCAGGATGTCGAGCATGAGCATTGCCGTCCTGTAGACCCTGAAGCTGGCTCTCCACTGGTCGAATGACCCTGGGCCAGGGATCTCCTTCGTGATGTAGCCCCCCATCACCGGTATGTAGGACCGGTACTTCTGGGTCCTGTGAGCCTTCTTGCCGTAGGGCAGCCACACCGAGAAGTCTGCGTAGGGGGCTCCACCTGAATTCACCCTCCTCAGCAAGGCAGATATCTGCTCGGTGGAGGGTTCTTCCTGTTCCAGCGGGAGTCCACCAGTCTGGCGTACAAAGTTCTCCAGCCAGCGCTGCTTTTGCTCCTCCGAGGAGATGACGAACTCTGACTCGTCCCCCTGGTCCAGCACCGCTGAAAATTTCATCTTCCTCTCCACCAAAGCCTTCGACGTGTCCGTGGGCTCCATGATCGGTGGTGTCGCCGTTGGGGCGTCTGCCCATGGGTCCGGGTCCACCCACAACCTGATGTCCAATCCCGCCTCCACGTGCAACTTCCGCCTCGCAAGACGGTACACCAATCCCACCTGTGCGGCCTGGACTACAGTGAGGTGTTCCCCTGAAGCCATCGTTGCCGCCTCGGTCGTGGCCGCGAGGGCGGCTGGAGGCAAAGCTGCCAACAACCGGTAGTCGTCCCCCGGATCGCCGGCAGCTCTGATGAAGGCATCCCAAACCGGGTCCTCCACCCCATAGAATGCCCTGCAAGCACGCAGCGACGAAAATGGCGCTAGCTCCAAAGGCCAGGCCATACGCGAGGCCACCCATGAATGCAAAAACAAAACAATGGGTGGATGCTTGCCAGGGCACTTGAGCCAAAATGGCACCCATGGCAAGCAATCCACCCACCAACCCCTTAGCATGCTGAATTGTTCAGCAGGAAATTCCGGGGCTCCATTTCCTTTCCCCAGAAGGGGGAAAAAACATCAAGACACCAAGGGGATTCAACGAAAAACATGTGGCTATTTGAAGGGAAACCATGTATTTTGCTAGTTAAAGTTGCGTTTTTCCTGTTCTTGTCCCAAACAAACGAAGAACTTGTGGGTTGGGAAATATTTGGCCAGCCGATATGGCCACATATTGCTCACAACAGTTTTCACCAATGGCTAACAATCTGGGCCCAATTTGACTTCAATGAAACTCAACACACATTTTTTTGCAACAAGACTGGGATACTCATGGGATAAGTTGTTAGAGTGCCCAATAATCACTTATTAGGATGTAAGTCTTAAGGGTGTAAATCATACAAATTAAGGTGCACTTTTACCAACTAATAGCTTTCTAATTAATGCGGATGCAAATAACCTAGTGTCTATTCATGTTTAGTATTCCCTAAACATGTGAGATATTCCCAAACATAAATCCAGAATTGGGTTTGTCAACTGGGCAGATGTAAGAATCAGATCGTCTCAGCCTCCTCCCCTGTCTAGCAACCAACAAATTTAGAAGCCGCATATCAGGGCCAATGTTCCCCAGCCATTAAGATGCGCTGTTATTTCAGGCTTTCGCTTGGGGATCTACATTCATAAGCCATTCTTGTGATGATTAACTATTTACTTCGTAGCTCACCCCAGTTAGAACGTGGCAACCCCGGTCATAGGGTAAGTAGGGGCGCAGTTGCAGCTGGGGTGAGCTACCAAGTACCATGTGGAGGCGTCTGTTTCGTCAAGGGGGTCCCAGTCATCCAGTCGTCATAGATGACCATGACTTAATATTGAAACAACGGTGACGACTAGGGATCCCACATGACTTGGGAACCCTCCATGTTCTAGCTATTTCTTGATGGTTGCATCTCAAATCGGTACATTCCTCATATTCTCCCCATTCAATGGCTACAAAAACTGGTTGGTGGTTGAGCCACCCCTCTGAAACATATTAGTCAGTTGGGATGACTATTCCCAATAGATGGAAAAAAAAATGTTTGAAACCACCAACCAGAAAAATAAACTTTCCTAAGTCCTGAGGCTACCCCCAAATCATCCAGTCGTCATGTATGACCACAGCCATGGTTTTGGGGATCCCCATTTCAAGATACCGCCTAATATCACTATTACGTCCATTCCATTATGATATATATTAAAATCCCCATCATAGTGCCATTGGATCCCCATGTTCATCATTTTCGAGGAAGGAGGACGTGGGATACCGATGACTTCTGCTTCAGGGAATTTTTGAAAAAACCCATGGTGACTTGGACATTTTTGGAGTCCCATGGGTCATTAAATGTCCCCATTGAACATCACCCAACCACTAGGTATATGGTCTATAATGGCTACCAAAAAAGGTGATGTCCAATATACCCAAAATGGGACAGTTATAAGTTGGTTTATAATCCCCAATTAACTATAGATATAACCCCCTAATCAACCCTAGTTATTGGACTTATAAACCAACTTAGCTAACTATGGGGCACCACCTTGAAGAAACCCCAAAATTGGGGGCAACTCTGAGTCAAGGCCGACATGGCTCCCGGCTCCTCCATTGCTCCGGCTCCTCTTGTGCCAGGCGCTGCAACGCCGCCTGGCGCCATGGAAGCCATGGCTTCCGTTGAGGAAGCGATGATTTTTACCGGTGTCCAAAACGGTAATTTTGTCTAGTGTTCGTTTACTGGGAGGCTAGTCAAATGGTTTATACCATGATTATTCCATATGATCAAGCCATCTCCTGTGATCTCCTGACTTGGTTTCTTAAATCAAGTAGTTTCATGACGTTGAAACTAGTTGAAAACTCCATATATTTTCAAACGTCCACTACAAAGTGGGGCCCCCTAGATAGCTAAGTTGGTTGATAAGTCCAATAACTATGGTTTATGGTAGATATAACTATAGTTAATGGGGATTATAAACCAACTTATAACTGGGGGGCACCACATTGTAGGAGCTTCCCCAAAAATGTGTTGATTCCATCGATGTCGCCTCAGCGATGGAATAGCGCGAACGCACCACTTCCACGCCCACCACTTTCCTGGCGGATGGTACGCGTGGTACACTTGACCCATCTCCATATTTGAAAATCACAATAACTATGGTGACTATGCTGCTTATATCATCGTTATCATCTTATATTTGATATTTAGAAAAAAAACAAACTTTTCTAAAAGCATCCATGTGTATGTATGTATATATAATCAGTCTTGTATCTGGAAGATTTTTGGGACATGTGACATTTATGTTTAAGCATAAACACCAACCATAGGGATAATTGAAGATTAAACAACCATTTCCTGTGAGGTGCCCTTTGCCAGTGATGTTCGTCGGTTTAGTTTCACCCCATGAATACTATAGATATGATATATCTATCTCACAAACCCTAGACTTCACCGAGTTATTTCAACCAACTTAGCTAAGTATGGGGCACGTTACCAGGTGGGTTAACCAGGAAAAATATGGACTCAAGATGATTGAACCCACTGAACCTGGGAGCTTTTGGAGTTTTACCCGCCAATCAGGAAGTATTTCCTGGTTGAATGGTTCGAGTCATGATTTTCAACTTGAGAGGGGAAACACAAAAGGTAGGTGAACAAGAAAGGAACCGAAGAAAAAAAAAGGGGAGAGGGCAAGGAAAAAAACATGAAGTGGAGTCTGGTAAAAACGACGCGGCCATTTTCTCTCTAAAAACATGAAGTGGAATCTGGTAAAAGCGACGGAAAGGCTTCGGCGGTGTGGTTGGGGTTGGCGGTGGTTGTGGTGTTGCTGGTCTTGGTGGTGCTGGTGGTGTTGGTGTTGATGGTGTTGTTAATGTTGGTGTTGCTGGTGTTGTTGGTGTTGGTGGTGTTGTTGGTATTGATAGTGTTGCTGGTGTGGTTGGGTTTGTTGGTGGTGTTGGTGTTGTTGGTCGTGTTGCTGGTGTTGGTGTTGTTCGAGTTGTTGTTGTTGTTGTTGTTGTGGTTGTTGTTGTCGTTGTCGTTGTCCTTGTCGTTGTCCTTGTCGTTGTCCTTGTCGTTGTCGTTGTCGTTGAAGTTGTTGTTGTTGTTGTTGTGGCTGTGGTTGTTGGTGTTGTTCTTGTGGTTGTGATTGTGGTTGTGATTGTGGTTGTTGTGGTTGTTGTGGTTGTTGTGGTTGTTGTGGTTGTTGTGGTTGTTGTGGTTGTTGTGGTTGTTGTGGTTGCTGTGGTTGCTGTGGTTGCTGTGGTTGTTGTGGTTGTTGTGGTGTGTTGTGGTGTGTTGTGGTGTGTTGTGGTGTGTTGTGGTGTGTTGTGGTGTGTTGTGGTGTATTGTGGTGTGTTGTGGTGTGTGGTGTGTGGTGTGTTGTGTGTGGTGTGTGGTGTGTTGTGTGTGGTGTGTGGTGTGTGGTGTGTGGCGTGTGGCGTGTGGGGTGTTGTGTGTTGTGGTTGTTGTGGTTGTTGTGGTTGTTGTGGTTGTTGTGGTTGTTGTGGTTGTTGTGGTTGTTGTGGTTGTTGTGGTTGTTGTGCCTTCCGGACCCTTGTCCGCGCGCACCGAAAGAAACGCAGTACTGCAGGGCACGGCGGTTTTTATGTCATATTTGCCAGTGTACGGAGGGTTTCGCGACACCATGGGGTGGGGTGGGGTGGGGTGGGGTGGGGGCAGCGATGACGTTTCCTTTGGACTTGATCACGTTGTTGATGCTACGCCACGCATTGGGGTGGGGTGGGGCAGTGATGACGTTCCTTTGGACTTGATCACGTTGGTGATGCTACGCCACGCATTGGGGTGGGGTGGGGTGGGGTGGGACAGTGCTGCATGCTTTAGCCGTTAGCCTTTTACGGAAAAGAAAGGATGAGTCGAATAGGGTGCGAACCGAAAAAAATCGGAGACTTGAGCCAGGACAAAGACTGGCTAAAGGTGTGACGCAAAAACGAAATAAAAGACAAATGCTCTATTAACCTCTATTGACAAGCATGGGCACATGAAATCTTCAAGTTGGATTCCACAATCAAATCTGCACACAAAACATTTATATATACATATATTTATATATGTTTGTATCTGTATATATATATATATAGATATATGGATACGTATGCATATAGATATATTGACGTCGTTACATGCAGAGATTTCAAAATCTTTGCTGAAAATCAAATTGAATTCGCGCACGAATTGAATCCGCGCGCGAACAGCGGTCCGAAACGTTGTTGTGTGTTGTGTGTTGTGGTTGTTGTGGTTGTTGTGGTCGTTGTGGTCGTTGTGGTCGTTGTGGTCGTTGTGGTCGTTGTGGTCGTTGTGGTCGTTGTGGTCGTTGTGGTCGTTGTGGTCGTTGTGGTCGTTGTGGTCGTTGTGTGTCGTTGTGTGTCGTTGTGTGTCGTTGTATGTCGTTGTGTGTCGTTGTGTGTCGTTGTGTGTCGTTGTGTGTCGTTGTGTGTCGTTGTGTGTTGTTGTGTTGTTGTTGTGTTGTTGTGTGTTGTTGTGTGTTGTTGTGTGTTGTTGTGTGTTGTTGTGTGTTGTTGTGTGTTGTTGTGTGTTGTTGTGTTGTTGTGTGTTGTTGTGTGTTGTTGTGTGTTGTTGTGTGTTGTTGTGTGTTGTTGTGTGTTGTTGTGTGTTGTTGTGTGTTGTTGTGTGTTGTTGTGTGTTGTTGTGTGTTGTTGTGTGTTGTTGTGTGTGTTGTTGTGTGTTGTTGTGTGTTGTTGTGTGTGTTGTTGTGTGTTGTTGTGTGTTGTTGTGTGTTGTTGTGTGTTGTTGTGTGTTGTTGTGAGTTGTTGCGTGTTGTTGTTTGTTGTTGGTTGTAGTCGTCGTCGTTGTCGTCGTGGTCGTCGTTGTCGTCGTTGTTGTTGTTGTTGGGTGTTGGTGTTACCCCTGCAGCGTTTTTTCTCGGTTCCGTAGTGGCCGAGAATCGTCAAATAGGTGGTGTTTCGCGTGTTTTTGCAACTCGCGGAGCAAAAAACATCGTAAATACCAATGTTTTTGGCGGGTCGGAAGCCCAAAACCACGGTATTTACGATGTTTTTTGCCTCTGGTAGCAAAAAGCACGGTATTTACAGTGTTTTTTGGCCAGCACCTAGCAAAAACACTGGTATTTACGGAGGTTTCACCATGTAACAAAATGTGGTTTCTTGATCCGAAAAGAACAAAAATACTGTAAATTACAATGTTTTGAGTCTGCTCTTAGGGTGCGTGGGAGGCGTGGAGGGGAGGGGGGGGGTTACTGAAATGACTAGCAATCTCCTGAATAATCAGGTAACGGGGCTGGCCACCCTCCCCTTCTACTTCGTAAAGCAAAACTCAAGGTAGCCCCACTGGAGCTACCTTTCGTGATAAGGGCTCCACTAAAGTTTGGTTTATGAATCCATCTATATATTTCGATATATCCAACATAAATCCACGTTAACCCAATTGCAAAGCGACTCGTTTGGGAAGTAAACCCTGAAATTTGGATTGTAACGGTCAATTAGGACATGTTTCAGGTACCTAAAGCGGAGGTACTGATCTGTAAAAGGTCGAGGTACAAGTAAAACATATGTAAGGCAATACCCTCACCAAAATGTGGCCTTACATTGTAGTACAATGCGTCCAATTTCAGGTCCTGAAATTTGGCTTGTCTGGCGCGCACAGCACACCCTCCTGGTCCAGATTTCAACCGCTTCTGAGTGCAGGGCACGGGAGGCAGCGCCGCCTGAACCTTTGGCTGCGACTTCGCCTGCCATATAGTTATCGAGGTAAACCTGCCAAAAACACTCATTTCCGGCTCTGCGGAGCACGTCCACGAACCAGGGTCGAGCCACCATCTGCCTTCTCAGCTCTGTCGCACTGAGACACAATGTTCCTCCTGATCATTTCTCTTGACGCCATCTGCATCAAGCCCACACGTGAGCTCCACCCCATAGGGAGGACAGCGCAGCTGGGGACGTAGGTCACACCTGGTCGCCTCCCAATTTTGCTGCCGTCCAGTTTGGAGTTGAAGCACATGAAGGGCCGCCAGGCTCTGGGTAGCTTGACCAAGTAAAAGGCCGAGCTCATGTCCGCCTGAGATACGTGAATCGTCTCAGACTCCTCCAAGCAAAGCTGAGTCCAACTGGTGGCCATGGGCAGCTCCTTTATGTCCCCCTGGATGATCCGCAATGCCCTGTTTATCGGGCGCAAATTCAGAATCACCCGTAGCAACGGCTGACCGTCTTCGGTGAACTTCTGCGGCTTTTCCACCCCAAACATTCCAGAAAGGAAGAAACCTTGTCGGTCTCGGTACACCTCGACTTGGAATTTAACATTCTGTCAGGACATCACCAGGATGATAATGTGTATATAAGTATATATATATACTATATTATTATACTATATATATATATTAAAATATATTAAAATATATATCTATATCTGATGACAAGATCTACGCATCATAGGTCCCCCCCAATATCGCACAGATGATTGAGCATCAAACATCATCAAACACATTTTTGAAACCAACAGCCAGCAAATCTTTGGTTATATACCTCTTATAGACTATGTACCTAAACACATCCCAGTCGGTGATGGTGAAACATGGACCCCATTTGCTGATGGTTCAATCCCATTTGCTGCTAGTTAAATCTCATCTGTCGATGCCTGCAAGAAAAACAAGTGAGGGAAAAACATTAACTCCAGTTTGTTGATGGAGAAAATGTGCAAGATCGAGGGACAAACACTAACTCCAATTGGTTGATGGAGAAATTCCGCAAAATCGAGGGAAAAACACTAACTCCAATTGGTTGATGTAGAAAATCTGCAAAATCGAGGGACAAACGCTAACTCCAGTTTGTTAAAGGAGAAAATGTGCAAGATCGAGGGACAAACGCTAACTCCAATTGGTTGATGGAGAAAATCTGCAAAATCGAGGGACAAACGCTAACTCCAATTTGATTGGTTGATGGAGAAAATCTACAAAATCGAGGGACAAACGCTAACTCCAGTTTGTTGATGGAGAAAAGGTGCAAAATCGAGGGACAAACGCTAACTCCAATTGGTTGATGGAGAAACTCCGCAAAATCGAGGGAAAAACACTAACTCCAATTGGTTGATGGAGAAAATCTGCAAAATCGAGGGACAAACGCCAACTCCAATTGGTTGATGGAGAAACTCCGCAAAATCGAGGGAAAAACACTAACTCCAATTGGTTGATGGAGAAAATCTGCAAAATCGAGGGACAAACGCTAACTCCAGTTTGTTGATGGAGAAAAGGTGCAAAATCGAGGGACAAACGCTAACTCCAATTGGTTGATGGAGAAAAGGTGCAAAATCGAGGGACAAACGCTAACTCCAATTGGTTGATGGAGAAAATCTGCAAAATCGAGGGACAAACGCTAACTCCAATTGGTTGATGGAGAAAATCTGCAAAATCGAGGGACAAACGCTAACTCCAGTTTGTTGATGGAGAAAATCTGCAAAATCGAGGGACAAACGCTAACTCCAGTTTGTTGGTGGAGAAAATCTGCAAAATCGAGGGACAAACGCTAACTCCAATTGGTTGATGGAGAAACTCCGCAAAATCGAGGGAAAAACGCTAACTCCAATTGGTTGATGGAGAAACTCCCCAAAATCGTAGCGCAAATAAACCCGCCCATTCTTCAGCTCAGCCCCTTTTTTCGATTCCAGTCCTCACCGAAGGACATTGTAGAAACATCTGCATGGCCACCGTTCCACTGCCTCATGATGCAACCAAGCACGGGTAAACACCCCAAGAGATGGCTCATAAATGTTAGTAAATCCAAAACATTTAGTGATTTCTGGTAGTTTCTGTAGGCATGCGGCTGATACGGCGCCCTTGGAAGGGTTGTCGATTTTGAGATGTGCCATTTACGATCCCGTGGAAGGGTTGCAAATTTCAAGAATGAGGTTTTCCGAAATGGGGGTATAGGATTTGAAATTTTCTATTTTTTTACGTGTTGCACATGGAAGAGGCACATGTTGTATATGTTGTCGTATGATGGTCAGGGGGGGGTGGGGGGGGATGTTAACGTTCGTGTCGAGCGCTTCCCTCACGGTACGGAAGAGGCACATGTTGCATTTGTTGTCGTATGATCGTCAGGGGGGGTGGGGGGGGATGTTAACGTTCGTATCGAGCACTTCCTTTACGTTACAGAAGAGGTTGCCGTTGCTGACATCTTGCATTGTCTGACGCGCTTTTTGCGGATTTCCTGCGTGAACCTATGTTGGTCGTGGTCGGATTTTATTTATATATGATCAGGGCTGAAATCCGCAGCTCTGTTTAGATCTCGATGGATCACTTCACACCTCCGCGGAGGACATTGGCAAGGAATCAGCAGCTGGGTTCAAATTTGTTGTTTTGTTTGGATTTATAAATGTTGACGCTCAATATTTTTTTTCATTACCGTAAATTATCTCACGTACCAAATAGCAAAGGGTTTGAGCTGTGGGCATCATGTTATATAAAGATTTGACATGGATGGATTGATTTGCTGATTTGGTTTTTCGGGGTGATGATGATATAACAACTTGACATTTCAACTATCATTATTGGGGAATTGTTTCATTTTGACATGAAGAATCTCAACAGGTCACCATGGTCAGTGCATTCCAACGCGTTGTCTCTGCAGTTGCATTCACCGCTTGCAGTGTCGTCTAGGTTTCTTGTTGCAATATGGTTTTTGAATTGCGCTTTATTTTGCTGCATATTCATATATATATATAGACTATAGAGTAATAAATAAATTATATGTGTGGATATGTATATGTATATATGTGAATATATATATATGTATATGTATATGTATATATGTATATATGTATATATGTATATGTATATATATATATATCTATGTATCTACATTGATACATGCGGATGATTGTTGCTTTCACAAGTCATTAAAGAAAGTTTGCAGGGCATCTTCTCCAGAGCAAGCTCCGCTGGCTTCGGTGGCATCTGCACAAGAGCTTCAACAGAATGACAGGGACAATGCTGCAGCATCGACGTCTGCACCGAACTCGTTGCCACATGACCTAGAGGTTGAGTATAATGAGATGGACCAGGGCTCTCCCGCTGCTACATTAGCACGTGAGCTTGGAGCCATTGTAGCTTTATTGCATGTAGAGCTTTTTCTCCATTTTTTAGACTTGGTTGCTTCGTTGTGAACATGGTTACGCTCTTTCGTTTCATCTCTTGGGGGACATTCCTGTTCTCTGGTGTTGTCAACCATTGAAAGAGCGACTGCTGCCGATGTTGCACGTGCCGGTCTTTGCCACCAACGATGCTCACGAAAGATTTTGCCGGGCTGTCATTGAACGTGCAGGAATGGTGACTCATGCCCAAACAAAGGCAGGATTGGAACGCAGAGCATTGGAAGCTATCCAGAGACTTGGATTTCGTGAGGCAGAGACTTTGGCAGTCAATGGAGACCACCACAAAGCAGATTCATTTCGGAAGAGTATTCGGGCAAACATGCTGCATCGAGATAAGATTCGTCTATGGGGTCCTGTTCGTCCTCGTGAATCGTCTGTGGTGCGCAATGTTTCGATTGATTTGAGCCGATTTCAACAGATGACCTTGTCCTCCACTTTATCTTCAGGGCCTTACGAAACAGCTGCGTCCGTTCGTGCACGCGGAGCATGGCAGCCTCCGCCTGCAATGGTTGCAACTCTGCAAGTTCAAGTGCCTGCGAATTTTGGGGACGCTCTGGATCACACGGGAGCTCACTATGATAGGTGTCTTTGTATGGTTTTCCTTGAAGACTTTCTTGTGTTTCATCCCTGTTTTAAATGAATGTCCGAAGACAAGAACAGTTTCTAGATCTTGTTTTGTCTGCAGCCCATCCCAGGTTTATGGATACGTTGCTACAACTCTCCGGTGGTTTTTTGCCTCACCGTTGGTTCACGCTTGAGGAGATGCAGGATGCCGCAGGCATGACATGGGAAGATGTTGATGAAGCTGCCGGCGTTTGGTCTTCGATGAATTGTGTCGAACTTGCTGATGGTAGTGTTCGGTTGCTGAAAGATGAGAAAGACTTTTGATCTAGATAACAAAGGAGCTTGACGGTTGGACAGAAAAAGAATATGTGCGATACAGGTTTAAAAAAAATGGGATCTACACATTAGTTTGCTACACTGCCATCTTGCCATCTTGCCATCTTGCCATTTTGCATCATGCCATCTTGCCATCTTGCGTTTAAACACTTAAGAGCCGTTTCAATGAAGAGACCTGCTGGTCAACAGAAATTCCGTGCATCGCCTGCGCACGGTCACAAGTGCCAAGTCTGTGGCGCCAATGGCCATGATCTTCGCACTTGCAAGTTTCCTGGCGCTGCGCTTGTGAAAAAACTTTTGCAAGAGCAAGGTCGAAAAAGTAGACAGACTGGAAGACGTCCAGTTCGATTTGGTCCGAGAACTCAAGAAGCACAGAAAGAAAGCAGAACAAAAAAATACACTGGAGTCACAAGCAAGCAGAAACGCTTGCGAGAAAGAAAAGAGAGGGCTTCGTATGTGGAGAAAACAAAGAAAAATTTGGAAATGCAAGTGCAAAAGGCCACTGCTTCTGCGCAGGAAGTTTGGGAACGAAACTTGTCCTGCGGATTGTTTCGTTTGCCCAAAGCGTGCCAGAAATGTCAGTACGGAAGATACAGCAAAAAGTTAGAGTTTGTCAAAGGGAAAAATCAGGGCCGTCACCACGTGTCCGAGAAGTACTACAAATATGGACATTATGTGGTACGCTGTGGAGAGCAACAATGCCGCCACAGATTGAATGTTGTGAGAACGGGGCCTTGGCCGTGGGAAAAGTGCAGAACATTGACTCTCGAGCAAGTTGATGAAATTATTTCGATGTGGATTCATGCCTCTCGTTCACCTCCTAGCGCACGGGAAGTTGCATGCCGTGTTCTTTGTAGTCGCTACGCAGCCAATTCTCTCTTGGACTTCTTGACGGAGAAAACAGGGGACATTGCGCGCAAACAGTCCACTGGTGCAGAAAGATTGCCTAGTTCTCTGCTCCCGCAAAACGTGTATGAAATAGATGGCACGGGAATTGGCAAGATGTATGTTTCCTGGATCAAACTTTTTTTTTGCTTCAGTGAGACACGTACTCTCCATTTGGCCAAACTCTCTATTATCATGACAATCTAGTGTCTCCAAGATAATATAATCGACGCCTGAGGTGAGCTCAAAATCTTCCACCTGGCACAACAAGATCCAAGCGTGGAAAAAAGCACACAACACCCGCAAAGTCCCCAAGTACTTCCAGATTCACATTCGCATTCTGGGCTTGATGTGCCGCATGACCGGAGCTCTGCTGATGCGACCTTTGCCATTGAAGTTGGTACCTCCGATACCCGATGAAATTACATGACATGTTTTGTTGAATGTAATGTTTGCTGAGCCACAACCATGTCAGAATCAGTTTCTCATTGCGCGCTTTCTTTTTCATTTTCCTCTGACGCTGGCCAAGGAAAGCACGTCCGCCGCAGGAGTCGCGCTCAGAGGTCACGGGCACGGATCTCTTGAGGCTTGTCCCTAGCAGTAGTATTGTCACAGCAGATGGGGCCAGAGGTTTCGCAGCGACGTGTGAGCAAGACTATCCCCAAAAAAGGTTCAAGGTAGCCCAGGTCAACCACAAACAGAATATCTTCACTAAGACTTATCATTTTCGGGGTCGTTTGTGGGGTAAATCATCTAGAACCATTATCGCTGGAACTCAACAACTTGATGGCACTTGGAAACACTTAAAAAAATGGCGACCTCAATCCATGCTCCACAAAAAGAAACAACAGGTGTACCAAAAACGGTACAGTTATGCTTACAGCTGGACTTGGCGTCACAACGCTGCCTTGTTACAGACTGTAGCATCAGCACTGCCACAAGCGCTCTGGCACCGCTAACTTCGAAAAGTGGAAAAAAAGAGGATTGAATACCGCCTTGATTGATGTGATTTGGATGACTCAAAATCATAAAATTCTAATGTTTTTTTTCACCCTTGAAGAGAAAAATCGAATCACCGCGCAGGCGAAATTCAAATTTTCACTCTTGAGTCACACGCCTGCCAATCGAAATCAATGTCCATTTTGTACACATTTTTTGACGACTCCTGCAAATACCAGCATTTTCTCTCTTCCCCTCAAAAATGACAATTTCAAATTCGTCACCCTTACAAGGGCGCCGAGTCAACCGGTTGCCTAGTTTCTGGAAGCCCTTTACCCTCTGGTAAACTAACATAGCTATTGAAATTTGCTATTTATAGTGGATTTATCCACAAAAAATGGTGATTTTCCATAGTTACGTTAGTTTACCAGAGGGTAAACATCATCATTATCGCAAGGGGACCTTTCGATGTTGAATGAATCCCCCATGATTTCTGGCAGCCACCCGATGGTCCAAAAAAGGTTGCCCCTCTCGGTGGCTTTGGTTGAACCAGTTGGGTGAAACCAATGGTTTATGGCATTGTTTTACCCACATTATATACCCTCTGGTAAACTAACGTAGCTATAGAAAATCACCATTTTTCATGGGAAAATCCACTATTTCTATGGCCATTTTCAATAGCTATGTTAAATTACCAGAGGGTATCATTATTTAATATTAACCATGCTATATATATATATAATATGTTTTATAATTGATTATCCCATTATATCATTGTTTTACCAACATTACCTAGTTGGTGGTTGACCTACCCCTCTGAAAAATATGAAAGTCAGTTGGGATGATGAAATTCCCACCTTAATGGAAAATAATCCAAATGTTCCAAACCACCAACCAAATGCAGTTGTCAGCGAAGCCACATTCTGAGTTTTTTCGGCCATAGGCTCCGCTGAAGTGTGAACCCTTGACGATACATTTGCAATCTTTTTAGATCCGGAGATACGATAAAGTCCAGCTGGCCAATTCCACCAATTACGTATCAAAGTGGTGTCATAACAGAATCCAACTGTCATCACCATCCAGCAATTCAAATTCGGACAGAAACCAGTAACTGAAAGCAACCATGCAGTATCGTTTTGAGGGCTACTTAGGCCCTTCACAAAGCTGAGATGCTACCGGCCAAAAACCTAGACACTTCAGGGCATACTATATGGTATAATAATATAAAGATCAATGAGGAAAGACACAGATTCATCAAGATGAGGAACCCTGTCCTTTCTGTTACTTCTCTGCCTTTTTTCGCGGTTCAGCCAATGCTGGGCACTTCTGCTCTTCTGTGGGCAGGCCGCAGCGCTTGAGGTGCCATTTGTAAGCCCGTTTTCGCTCATGGAAAAAATGCCCGCGCATCTTGAACTCCTTCGCCGTAACCTCTTTCAAACCTGTTCTAGCCAGCCTCCTGCAGCATCTAGATTTACGGCTTCCGGATTGCAGCTTCAGTCATGCAGTGAACCAACAGGTAAAAGATCACAAAGAATCTGGAATACCAAGCCTGAGTGACTTGATGACGCGAGAAAGGTCCCTGCACAAAAGCAAGAGAGTATCAGCATTCGTACAAGGTGGTGCCCCATAGTTAGCTAAGTTGGTTTATAAGTCCAATAACTAGGGTTTATGGGAGTTATATCGATAGTTAATGGGGATTATAAACCAACTTATAACTATGGGGGCACCACCTTGTAAGCTGTACCACAATGTAGCCTGCATCAGTCGGTTCCCATCCCATTTTTCCGGCTTTCACGGAACCCTTCCGAACTGAGTCGCCAACCCATGCCCAGTTCCAAGATCGTGGAATTTTCCTCGGCAAAATTTCGGCGGTGGGAACTTCGACAGGTGAACAAATGGCGAATATTGAAACCTAGTAAATAATGTTAGTAAACTGATGTTAGTAAAACATTAGTAATATGGTTAGTGAATAATGGCTAAGTTGATTCTTGAACAATGTTAGTAAAACAATCATAAACCTTATGGAATATCTTGACCCACACTCAACTCTTTTAGCCTCTTTTAGCCCAAGTCTGGGGGTTCACTCCAGACTTAAACATGGCCAATCAGCCAGATACCCCGCAAAAAATTGAAAATTCGTAGCTGGTTAATTAGTAGATAATCCCACTGATATCAAAAGAATAAAGGATGAGTTTCTTCTCATGCAAGATTGACCTAGTTTCATGGTCTATACCGCCCATTTATGGTAATTTTGGGGATAGTTTACACTATTGCTTTACTAACATTACGGGCAAACCCCCAGTTTGCCCGCGCCTATGTCGACGACGTCCCCGAAGATCAAAAAACAAAAAAAACTGTGTTTTGAACGACAAAATGCACATGTCTGTGATCTTGGCTTTCATCTTGCAACGCACAGCTCAGGCTACCTGTGCGTTGAATGTTACAACATCATCATCATCATCATCACCACCCTCATCACCCTCATCATCCTCTTCATCATCCTCATCCTCATCATCATCCTCCTCCTCCTGCTCATCATCATCATCATCATCATCATCATCATCATCACCCTAAACCCTAAACCCTAAAACCTTAAACCCTAAACTCCTTGAAAATTCCCTTGAATATAAATTCAACGGGGGTGCGGATTTGGTGATTCCCTAGAAACTCTGTTGAATCATGTTGAATATTCGCTTTGAATGTAAAGTTCATAGGGGATGGGGATTTTATGGTTCCCTAGAAACTCTGTTGAATGTAAAGTTTGACACTCCCTGCAATATCCCCTTAACAGTTGTGTGGGCGAACTGGGGGTTTGCGCGTAACATTACCTTGTATTTCGTTGCTTTTTATGCGTAACTGGTCAGTTCTATGTCGATGTTTCCCAATAAAAATGGCACTTACAATGCTTGAGCCATGTGAATAGGTATTCTCATTGTGGGCTGTCACAATCCTCGATTAATTAGATAATTGCACACTTAAACCAATCATCAACCAAGAGGGGTTCAGCAACCACTGCTCATTTTTAATCAGGATTAAACACACACACATACACACACTTTTTTTTAATGATTCCCCATTCTTTACCATCTTGAAACATTCCATAATGATGTAATGCTGGTATTTGATGGCTCAGAATTTTTGGATACAGCGGGATGACTATCCCTATAGCCCAAAGGCCATTGGTGGCAGCAACTTGAACGATCCAATTGCTATTCCAGTATGGCGTTGGTGGCACCATGCAATGGAAACAAAAAAAATAAATTATTTATAGCCTATGGTGACAGCATACATCACATATTTTATTTTATTTTTTAAGCATGATTATTCCCCACCTGCCAGGTGAGGGTTGTTAGATTTTATGTCAGTTGCCTCCTCCTGCCTCGTCCTCCTCCTCCTCCTCTCCTCCTCGTCCTCTTCGTCCTCCTTGTCATCCTTGTCGTCCTCGTCGTCCTCGTCCAACTGCGACCCGCGATCCACAGTGTTCTCTGCGGGACCTCAACCACGACCATCCACGCCCAGTGTTCCCTGCCGGACCTCAACCACGACCATCCACGCCCAGTGTTCCCTGCCGGACCTCAACCGCGAGTATCCATGCCAAGTGTTCCCTGCCGGACCTCAACCGCGAGTATCCACGCCAAGTGTTCCCTGCCGGACCTCATGTAGGAAGATAAAATGTCAGATAGAGTGCCAGAAGATTTGCCAGGTAGAATGCCAGAAAATATGCCAGAAGATATGCCAGATAGATATGCCAGAAGATATTTGCCAGAAGATATGCCAGAAGAATGCCAGATAGATATGCCAGATAGAATGCCAGATAGAATGCCAGAAGATATGTCAGAATATATGCCAGAAGATATGCCAGATAGAATGCCAGAAGATATGAATGCCAGAAGATATGCCAGATAGAATGCCAGAAGATTTGCCAGATAGAATGCCAGAAGATATGCCAGATAGAAGATATGCCAGAAGATAGAATGTCAGAAGATATGTCAGATAGAATGCCAGAAGATGTGCCAGTAAGAACATGTATAAATGTCATAGTGGGGATCACACGAAGTAAAGTATTTTTTTTGGAAAAATAGTCTTCAATTATCTTCACGTCAATTACTATTTTTATGATATTATGGTATATTGACCTGAAATATATAAAATATTATTGTATGAACTACAGTATTTTCTTTTAGAATGATACCAGTAGTACCGCACAAGGCGGTGGCGGAAGTTTCAAAAATAGGAAACCTATATAGGAAAGGCTGGTTGTTGTGAATCACGGATGGCTGTCCATATTGTCGGAAGTTTGACTTCTAAACTTCCTTCGATTAGGCCTTGACCTGAAGAAAACTATGTTTCCTCCAATATTCATCGCTACCAGTGGCCAAAAAATGCCAAGGTCTGAGGCCCCCAACACCCAATGCTTGACCCAGGCGCTTCAGGTCTAAGGCCTGGTGAAACACCCGGGTCCCGGGTCCCACCGTGGGATTCACATGGCCGTTGAAGCAACAAAAATGGGATTCCAAGTAGCAAGAATTGGGGTTTCTACATGGTTTAACCAATAAAGATTGTTTTTTAACCAATCAAAATATGGGTTTCTCAAATTTTCTATTTTTAACCAACAAACATATCTGCGGGGGGAGGGCGCAATAATTTACATTCTATCATATTCCGACCTTCGTTTGGTCGGATTTTGCTTTACTGCATCTGTCTGGAGTCAAACCAATAGGAAAAAATTGGGAACTTTCATGGGATACAATGGGGATATGTATCTTTAAAGAAATGGAATAAACTATGGCTATAACAAACAAACTGATGTGTGTTTGTCTTAAAATGGGGGATAACCCATTTTAGCAAATTGAAGCGGAAAAGGGGGAAAAATCTGAGGGCACCTTATTTCCAAACAATCCGTCCGTTGGGGTTGTTATGGAAGAATTTTGACCAACAGTGCACCCCAAATAAGCCAGCCCAAGTTTGTGGTTCACTCCACTTAAAATAGGATTACTAATCAAAAAATCTGGGACTTAAACATGGCCAATCTTAGATACCCTGCAAAAAATGACAAATTCTTAGCTGGTTAGTAGATAATCCCATTCATACCAAAAGACTAAAGGATGAGTTTCTACCCATCCAGTTGATTGGCCTAGTATCAGGGTAAGTATCCATTATAATCATCGATAAAAAAACATCCATCACTAATATCAATTGACTAATCCTCCATATAAATCATCCCATTATTATCCATTAAATGGACTTAACCTATCATGTGTTTTTTTCCTGGGTAAACAGTCGACACTCCTTGGTGGTTCACCCCACGAATCATAAGGCGATAAGATACCCCAGCTGCAAGTGGACCTATCCTGTCTGTCTCACCGAGAAAAACCCTACAATGTGTGGCCTCCAGTTGTAGGTTGGTCTACAAACCCCATATCATAACATATTAACTATAGTGGTGATGACTATATGGGTTTGACTAAGGTAATGATAGTAATAAGTATAACCATGTAGGGGGCTTGTATAACTTATGATGTTGGGTCTACATTCCCAATTACATGACTCCGATAACAAAAGGTTCTAAGTTATAAACATGATAAAACATATTGGAGTCATGTTCACCTATCTTAGAAATCTAGGAGGCCCCACTTTATATGTCACTTATCTTCCAGCCATTTCCTACCATTTCGTTATTAAACACTATTAGATTCGGTTCCTAGAATTAGAACGATTTGCTTAGCCCTGAAGATACCCCAAAAAAATCATCGCGCTGAGACGCATAAAATCGCGCTGGGGATTCGCATAAATCGCACCTTGGAAACACCATCTGGCAGCATCTCGCCATAAAGCAGAGAACTTCCTTGCCTTGGAAAGTCACAATGGCTGGGGCCTCTGTACCCCATCAAAAATATGGTCATGACCAGTGGATGGAAAGGTAAGTGACATATAAAGTGACATTGCACTTACCTACATATATAATGTACCATTTCTTATTGATATTTGAAAATGAGGATGACCAGTGGATGGAATTGGGTAAGCTGTTTTCCGGCAAACCCATGTACAATTTTTTTGTATAACCTCTTTGTAGCCTACAAATTCGGGGATGCCAAAAGGACAGGAATAATAAACATCATCTAGTCCCTCAATAAAAAAGACGCCAAAACAACAAGATCCAGTAGGTACATTTAGCAAGACCACTGGTACCACATTGACTCAGTTCCACACTTCAAAAACAAGATGAAACCTTATGTTCTCCTCTATAGCTTATTCTAATGATTTTTTCCATTTGTCTTGTTTCAAGTTTTTTGATTCTTAGAATAAGCTATGGTCTGGTGAACATAAATGAAACCCAAACATAACCATGAAACCAAACGGCACCCCCATCTTCCATCAAGCGTCGACATCAGTTTCCAGGATCATACAAACTTCATTTCGTTCGTGTTTCACTGACTGGTTGGTGGTTGACCTACCCCGCTGAAAAATATGAAAGTCAATGAGAAGGATTACATCCCATATATTATGGACAAAAAAAAATGTTTGAAACCGCCAACCAGCTGGTCAAACACATTTTCAGACGAATCCATATTACCTGATTGCTGTATCCGATAACATGGTACAGGCGTAAGCCCACTCATGAAGCGATATGTTACCAATATCATCACTTCTCAATAAGTATTGACAACATCAAACAAGATAGAAACCACACATATATTATTACCACAATTCTAGTAGAAGATTTCACTTTCTCCATCCCACCTTTTGATGATTTTCCCCTTTTTTTCCCATTGAAACTTCATAAAAGTTTGGGATTTCTATCTATTTTGGTGGGTTTTCGGTGGTTTTTCGGTTGTTTTCCACACGTTTTTTGGTGGTCCTTCAACGTTTCCCCGGTGCCGCGCCTTCGTGCCTCGGCCTTCTCGGCCTCAGACAAGCACCTGCCGAAGTCGCAGGAATCGAACCCTCCAGGGAAAAAATGGCGCCACTCTGTTCTAATTTAAGTTTTGGCCTCGAGTTGCCAAAAAACCTATTACCCTCTGAAGATCAAATAGCCATGAACAGGAGAGGACACGTCACGGCCGCTCTACACTTTTAACTGCACCTAGGGCGGTCAGGACGTTTTTTGTTCAAATCTGAACGTGGTCCTTATCCTTGGATTTCAAGGTCAAGCCTCTCAACGTGTTGATATGTGGCCTAGCCATTGCTCGGACCTGCTCAGCGAGCATTGGATCTCTAGGGCCTTTGGTTTGTAACTTGATAGTTACAGGTACTGGGCCCGTAGGGCAGAGGATAGCTCCTTCGCCGGTGGCAGCCTTGCCATAGTGGAAACCCAATTTACCATTGGGTCCGTGGCAAGGGATTCCTGAATTACCGGGAATCGAGGCGGTGCCCTCATCATGGAGAGCAAAGATACCGTTGTTATTTCCCTCAGGATCACGGGCCATAATTGTGTTTTTGACTTTGCCAGTGACCGGTTCGGACAAAAATGCACCGAACTGGTCGCCAATAGCCATTGCTCCGTCTTCACTGGCAAAGGACTGTTCATCACTGACAGCCATAATGTGCACACGATCGTGCAGATTCTGCTGGTTTGAGTGTTGTGAACGATACACAACCGGATCCCTGGTACATTTGCCCTTGAACTCTTGGCCATCGATTAGAAGATCCAAATTGGTTCATAACCATTATTATAAACATTAATATGTTCCATTAATACACGAACCAATATTGGTATATGGAACAATGTATTGATTGTACATAATAATAATGGTTCAGAACATGTATATTAATGGTACATAATAACATGTTCATAATCATAATAACAATGGTTTATAATTGTGTTTAATAACATGTTAATAACAGGTATTAAGTACTTATATTCAATTAAGTAGTTATATTCATAATTGTGGATAAAAATGGTTTTATGAACTGATTATATTAACAATGTATTCATAACTAATAGTTACCATGTTAATAACGGTTCACAAGTAATTCTGGTTAATGACATGGATGAACTCCAAGTGATCCAGATATGGGGGTTTCCATGGTATCACCAAAACATAGCAAAATTTGTAGATTGACAAAGAAATCTCCGCAACACAGCTTTATGCGCATGCAACGGCAAGCGAAGCGGTCAGTTCTTTTGCCACAAGAGTCGTAGCATGGCTGAAGATCTGTCACAATTCGAGGGGCAGCCGGAGCCAAAATGAAAACAGGGCCAGGTCAATCGCTGACATCATCCATGATCAATGGTGCAATTCACATTTGTCTCATTCTTTTGTTGATCAGAAATGGATGACTCAGCATTGGCCTCAGCATGAAACATGCTAATTAACACTGGTGCTGCCACATCGATCAGCGCATGCTGATTCGGCAACTCGCTGTACCTAACGGCCCTCTCTAAACGGCGCCATTCATATCGTGCGTCGTCCAGATTGAAACGTGCATAGCTGCTTCTCAGTGGCTTCTGGGATGCGGAAAATCTTGGTTCAGGTGTCCGGAAGGACTTGGCGTTGAAGGCAACTTGAATGCCTATCCCATTCCGCAAGTGCCAGCCTCGTTTCTCCGCCAGACCCCAAAGAAATGCCAACAAGGGCTCGCCATCCTCAACTCTTACTCCAGGAAGGTCAACGCATGCTGACTGCACCGAAGGCTTGAGTGTTTTGGCCTTGCTTACCTGCTTGACAAATTCTGGACTGTAGGGTATAGACCACTTCCCCCGGGACATGATAGCACGCATGTGCGTCAAGTCCATTTCTTTTGTGCCACCATCCACCCACATGTTCTCTCTGGATGTCCATTTCAAGCAGCTGTTTGGGAGGCGCAGAATGGAGCGCATCCACGCAATGCTAAAAGCCATTGACTTTTGGCTACCAAAACTTGGAGTGTCGGAATTTGATTTGTCGTAGACATCTTTGGCATCCGAATCCACCACTGCAGTCAATGGAACACTGTTCATGAGAAGGTTGGCTTTACGACCACTCAATTGGCGACCTTGAGCTAAAGCTAGCAGGCCACGAGCCAGTTGTCCACAATCCAAGCTCTCCTCCGCTGCAAGAGTCTCTGCAGCATATGTAGACCTGCAAACTCGAGGGATTCGGTGGGACCGAGCGTCCAAAATGTTGAACACACCTTCATCTCCTTGAAGGAGTTCAGGCTGAGCCACCAAAACAAAATAGCAATTGCTGCCTTCTCGAGTCACATTGCCCAAGGCTGCATCTGAAACCACAACGATTCCAGCTTTGCGATAATCCATAGGTCTGAATACCAATTCAAAATTGCTGTGGCACTTGAACTCACGAACCAAGGAGTTGGCACGAATCAACGTAGAGATGGTTGGCAGAACTTCTCCTTGAATCGCGCTCACACTGAAGCCCATGTCAAAACGACATTGTGCAACTAGCCATTGCAAACTTCCAATAACAGCTCTGAGCTTCTTGGCTTCTGACGGGTTCAGCGCAGCTGTGACATCTCGTTTGCGATGTCGGTCGATCACAATCTCGGCCACATTCTCATGGTATTCCACCATAGAAACACGAACTGTGCCATCTGGTGCCCTGCGAATGCGTTTGCCGCACCAAACAAAATCATTTCGCTCGATCGAGCCAAAACCAAGCTCAGCCCCAATGGCCATGAGAGATTGTTCGGCTGTTGGGGATCCAGCAAATAGCAAATCGTCCACATGACTGACGATCACACCTTGCAAGGTTCTAGTGCCGTCAGCATTGGCATCTTTTCCCCAGAGAAACCATAGTGCACCATCAATGCAACTCATGGGAGATGAATGCTCGGACATAGCTCTTGCCAGTCGCAACCACCATTGGCGTGGGGCATCGGCCAAACCAAACACGCCCTTGACGATCTTGGCCAACTGGCCCTTTTGCAAAGGAATCGGCGGGCTTGTCTTTGCATTGGTCGCGGCAATCCAAAGCAATCGTGAGACATATGGGTCCCCTTTGAGAAAGGCAGCCTTCACATCTGCAGAAATCAAAGCCCAAGTTTCATGAAATGCAGCAATAATGAAAAAAGCATATCTCGAGCCTGTTGGCGCATCTCTTCTCAGCTGACCTTCAAGATTGGCTCTGTCCTTGAAACCAGGCACTACCATGCGGGCAGAAGGTTTCACAGGCAAAGGATGCGAAGCTGATCTCAAACCATCATTCTTGTCTGTGCAGACAAACCTTGGAACAAGGATTCTGTCCAGCTCTTGCTGCTTGGCCAGCTCATTGTAAACTCGCCGGCTTTCCTCCATGGACAGGATCTCTATGGCATTGTTGTCTATATAGGCATTCCAACCCTTCACTGCAGCTTCGCCCCATAGAGCTTTCTCTTCCGGAGTCATCTTGCTCCAATGGTATTCTTTGCGAGCAGTCTGGGCAAGGTTGACTTCAAAGTCGTCAAACAAAGACTCGCCGTTGGGAAACTTCTGACCCAACTTCTGCATGGTCTGCCAATCACGTTGGCACATGTAGGACCATCTGCCATCCCAAGTGCCATGATCATCTTCCAGGCATGACCAAGGGTCTCGGCGATCCTTTTCAACATCAATTTGGAGTTGCAGCAAGGGGTGTAAACGATCTTGCTGCGATGACAACTTCTCAAGCTCTTCATTGGTCAAAACCAGGGCATCAAACGCAGGCTGCGATTCCAAAGAACTAGAAGCCACTGCAGAAGACTTGGGTGGCGGCTGCACATCCAAATCCAAAGGGTCAAGCTCTGAAGGACGCTTGACTCCACGTTGCAGGTCATCCAAACTCCTTGCACGCTGCAAAGTCTGCTGCAAAGAACTCGGTTCAGATTGAACAGAGGGTGCCAGGCACCGGAACTTGAGATGCTTGCAAAATCAAGTCCGGAATGGGCGTTCCTGGAGCTGCAGAGCTAGCTGGGGCTGAAACACCTGAAGCAATGGAAGATCTCGGCGTAGGTCCAATGCTCACCGAGGCCTCAGGCGGAGGTTGCAACGCGGCCACAATTTCCTGCGGTGACAAACTCGCAGGTGTCGAACCCGGAACTGGAATTGGCAAAGGTTCTTGATCTTCCAACGCAGCAGTCTGACCTCCTTGATCTCGCCCTGCATCATGCTTAGCAGCGTCAATCACCTCATCAATGGCTGCCTGCCAAGAGCCAGCCGCAATGCTTTCGAGCGAAGAGGCTGCTCGAACATGCTCTAATGGACATTTGGTCAATTGCCCACGATAGGAGATGAAGCAATTGGCGGCGACATCACCTTCCATGGCCACAAGAAGTCCTGGACCATGCCATCTTCGCAAAGCCAATTTGCGTCTTGAGCCGGGGCCACTTGAACGGCCTGCATACTTCTGGGCTCGCCAGAAGAAAACCAAATCGCCCGGCGTAGGCACTCGATCCTGCGTAGAAGATCTGGATCTCGCAAGCTCAGCTGTGCGAAGGCTTCGACTGTAGTGAAGTCGAACCATGGCCAATCTGGCCGTTTCGCGAAGTGCAACTTGCTTCGCCAGTGAAGGTTCTGCAGATATGAGCGAGTGCTCCGCCAGTCTTTGTGAGAGGTTGTTCAGCACATCGCCATAAGCCGGTGGAATGCGGCCTGTCACACACTGAATCGGCGCAATGCCATTGTCATGCACATCATCGTTGTAAGCTGATACAGCTTCAGAAACTGCCTGATCCATACCACTCACTGTTGAAATGAAGTGGGTGTGTGTGATAGAGCCCAAAACCGCCTTCAAGGTGCCACCACTGCGTTCAGCGATACCATTCTGCCAAGGTGCTCCGATTGCAATGTGCTGCAGATGGATTGATTTGCTGTCGCACCAATCGGCAAACACAAAAGAAATAAACTCCCTTCCCTGGTCAGCAATGATGGTCATAGGCGTGCCCAAAAGCGGCAACCATCTGGTGTTCAGAAATTCAATGAAGGACTCTGAGGACTTGTCCTTCAACACGGCCGCAGCTTGAAATC